TTTTTCTATGATATCGGAAAAATTAGATGCAAAATTAGATTCATACAGGTTCTGACACAAACCATGAATTTTTTTTATATTTTTACACAACAAACCCAAAACACGTTTGAATTAATTATATATTTCCGATAGATTTTTGTGATCAAAAAAGTACGCACGTACTTTACTCATGTATTTCACAACCGAAATGTCGTCCATGTATTACTTGTATTACTACATATGGAAAATTGGATATTACATATGTAAAAAACATTTGGTATGATAGGGTCTTACGATCTACCAATAGAAATAATAATAATAATAATAATAATAATAATAATAATAATAATAATAATAATGATAACAATAATAATAATAATAGTAATAATAACAATAATAATAATAACAATAATAATAATAATAATAATAATAACAATAAGAATAATAATAATAATAGCATATTGTTATCGGAAGTGTCTGTTAGCACAAAATCGGTTAAAGAAAGAATCTTTGACAGTTATTTTACTGAGAGTTGACAAATTCTTACCAGACAAATTAGTCTTTTTCTTCTTTAAAGCTAAATGCTGAAATCATTAAATTACATAACATTTGGTGATACCGTAGGGAGGAAGCAGTACCCATGGTCAATTCCAAATTTCGAATTTGAAATAATTCTGGTGAAAAGTGTTGATAAAATGGTCTAAATAGCGAATATATGGGAACTATATAATGTCGTGGACCTGTACATGAAATTTTCTGACATTACCATGGTACACCAAGGTAATCTCATGGTACAATAAGGAGGAGAACTGCTTCGTAAAACTGCAGAATTACAGCCCTGAGGCTATGCCCTGTCAAATTAGCATGCAAACAAGTTGTTTTCACTTATTCCATAATTTTCCTCATTTTTAAAATCAAGTAAAAAGCGCAAAAAATGAATGAAATGCCTGGATTTTTTTTTCAAAAATATGATCTAAATTGTTCGATCTCTCAATTGCATGGAAAAAAAACTTGCGAATAGCTTCAGAGACCGTCCCGCAATGTACGCGTCTTCGCGTCTTGATTATGAAAGTATTTTGTTTTTATTTTTCAGAAAAAAAAATTGTAATCAGCTAGTAGCTCTACCTATTGTATTATGGGTAATCTCATGCTATCTTACGATATCATTTTTTTTATTTTTTGTTCCTTCATTGTCATGTGTATATTTTGTAGTTCTTCCTTAAGTATTAACGTACCGCTGGTAAGAAATTTACATTTATTTTCCAACGAATATTTTTTGATTGCCATCTCTTATTTTCAGAAAATTGTCAGCGTAAGATTTCGTTTTATAATCTGAAAGTTTTGGCAAGCTTTTTTCAGCTTGGATCTCGGGGGGTTTTATCCTTAAAGGGGGGATTTAAGTAAAACATAATTCGAGGCCTAGACAAGAACTAACATCACCGAAAACGTTTGCTTAAGATGAAGCGGTTGAAATCTTTATCTTTATATGTTTAAGTCCAAGAACAGATAATTAAACGTACAGTATTCCTAAGATATGGAACGTATATGATTTTATGTGAAAATAAATGATTATTTATTATTTTTGTAAAATCTGCCACTCAAACGAAAATATTTAAGATATGAAAATAGATTTTATTTAAAAAATGACAAGGTCGAGTTCGTGCATGGTAGAATTAAGAAGGTAAAGTCATACCATCATATGTTTACAATTTTTTCAAAATTATTCATTTGACAATATCTCATTGTCAAAATTTATATTTATAAATCCATTGCACATTCACAAAACGGAGATGGGAACCTGCTTTCCATGCAGTAAAATTTGGCAAGCTAAATTACAGAAAATGCAAAGATAAGAATGCTTTTTTGAAATTACCTTCTTAATTTTACCATGATTTCGTCCGAAAAGAGCTGTCATATTAAATTTAGCAAATGAATTTACATTTATTGTTTTGCCATGGTTCTAACATATATACGGGATTTTTAAGCCCACTAAGTGCAACCCTATTAAACCTGGAATTTTAATGAAAATTCCATAGATATGTGTCCAAAAGGATTTTTATACAACCTAGTACTATTAAAAACCCTTATATTTATATGAATAAATTATAACGCATGTACGGGCTAAACATTTGTCATGTTCTTTTTTTTCTGCGCAAATGGTCACAAACAATCCAGCATTTTATAAGATCATAAGAATGCAACAGTTCTACAAAAAAAAGCACACAAACAACTTGTGTCGGCATACAATAGCCCATTGCTTAAAATTTATGACTCTGTTTTGTTGATCGTGGTGTTGTTGCTTGTTAAAGGTGACTCCTCATTCATAACGTCTAGTAACGGACGCTTCCCTTGTCCCAAGTCAGCTAACTACGAGCAAAGATTAACGACTTGACGGCAGGCCACAGGTACCAGCGGGCGCACGCACACACACAGAACCCATTTGTTCTGCTGGTTTGCACCAAAAAAACTTTGGGAATTGTTATCATCGTGGGCAACTGATGTGGAAAATTTGTGTTAAGTGTTTGTGGTGATTTTGAAATGAGAGAGCGAGAGAGAGAGATTAAACGTGCCCTTGATGCCTGTCTGCATTTCTAATCAAGAATGTATGTAGTGCATGTAAGTGTACAGTATTTCTATGTCGATATGTATGTTCGTTCATATGGACATATGAATATACATGTCCAATGGTCACAAGTACTTGCCCCATTCACCCAAAAGTTCCAAATTTTCAAGTGGCTTTTCTTTGAAAATCAATTGAAATGTTATGTGTTGGCCTTAACTGACATTTCCACAAAATTTGTTTCGTGCAGACATGTGTACACATATACATGCATCTGCATAAAATCTAATAGAGTGACAGTCCACTCATAAATTGTAACATGATATTATTAGAAAATTTCATGTTTGGTCGTGTCATTGGTTTATGATTGTTTGGCACTCTCTTGAATGACAGAGGCATCGCCAGCTTGTTGAGGTATTGAATAATGACAACATATGGGTTAAAACCCCAAAGCATCACAGAATGGATTGGATTTTCCAGTTTATTCCATTTTGAAGATAAGGTCTAATTTTACTGTGCTAAGTAAAGGTGAAAGTACATAAAAGGCTTTTTTGACTGGTTAAAGTCATCGGCTAGTTTCTTCGTAGAAGTTTTAGGTTCAATTAGTTCGATTTCAGCCCTTTGTTCTTGATGTTTTCCGAAGAAGCCAGTCAGAAAAGCATTTCATGTATTCTCACCTTTAATATCCCGATAAAAGCCATTTTTATAAACAACAATATATTTTTAATATAGATTTTTTGGTGGCAATTATTTTGTATTCATATCGGAAGCCCAAACCAATATAAATCATTAATTTATTTTATATAAAAACACACACAAATACATACATACGAGTTATGATCCCATGCATGCCTATGAAACTCGAAGTCATTGTTGACATTCATTAATTAACCACATAAATGAGCTGTACAGCGCTTGAATGAGTTTACACAAATATCTCTTCGCTTTTTGATATTTCAAGGATATTCAGGTAGAAATTTAATGCTTCGATATCAGGTAGGTAATGTTTTGTTAGTCATAAATTAGATTGTTTCAAGAAATAAACAATGATTTAGACGATATGGAAACGGTATTCCTTTGTCTTATCTTAGAAAAAAATAACACATACACACATGTGGATAATACACGCAGTCTATTGAAACAGCACATTTGTGTATGAAATCAAATCCTTTTCCCAATTTTTTGTTTATAAAACCCGAAAAGGTAGATATTTCGTAGAAATTGTAAATAGAAAATTTGTTGTCATTTTCATGGCCTTGTTTATTTAGGTTGTACATTTCACGTCGTTGTGTTTGTCTTAATGACTTCCTATCACGTGTGACCTGTGCTAAAAATATGTACAGTGACTCAAGAAAAAAAAAATACATTTTTATAAATGTAAATAACAATTTGTTTAAATCTTTGCGTTAAATCGCTTTAAATGACTTAGCAATTCAATTGAAAATTACGATGAACATTTTTTCATACACAAACATTACCATTTTGTCTACCCTATTTATTGTCCTTGCAGTTGTATCATGGTAGAAGAATACAGGTAGATGCATCAACGCTTGGAAACAATTTTCAGAAATTTAAATAATTTTTCATTCAACATTTTCAATTCCAAAATTGATTTGACAGTTCACTGGATGGACTCATAAGATGTGGGTACATAAAAAGCATCATGGCTAGGCATATTAATGTCAAATTATAATGAAAAACGATGACAGGATTCGAGTGTCACTCTAGCATCTCTTCATGATGTGTCACAAAATATATCATGCGAAAACTTCAAACTGCTTATGTACCCACACCTTTATTCTATGAAAATTTTTCATTTGATAAATATAACTCTGAAGATTTTTTTCAGGAACATATAACAATATGGTACATAAAGATTATGGATCTCTAAAAGGAATGCGAATCTGCTGCGATATCCATGTGTATTTCGGTGTGTATGTCAAAATTGCAATTTTACATATGACTCATAATTCCTGCTATCACACACTTGCATTAACTTTGTCATTCCGTTTGTAGCATCCCTAAATATTTGTCGTAGACCCCATAAAGTACATATATTCAAAATCACCATAAAATTCTAAGTCCATTTAACGATGTCAGTCTGTGTGTTGAAATCATGATACAGCCCACAGAATTTGAGCTTCAAAATTTGGGACAAAAATGTGTATTATGTCTAGAATTGTTGGTATAAATTAGATATATCGGTCCACGTTTTGGTATATATATTTTCGTGATTGTTAATAATCAACTATTAACAATAATATTGTTCTCAAGCTGTATTATAGTTTCATTTATTTTTAGTATGTTTGGTATATATTCAATCCCAAAACAATCTTGTGCACAATTATATATGAACCCGTTATTAGATTCTTAACATTTTTTTTGACATGCAATGTGTGAACTCCCTGAATGATACGAAATGACGCCGCTGATTCAGTAACATGCCGCCGACAAAGCAATTGCTAGCACTTTGTTATCCGTCACATAAATGCATAATTATAAGTCGACCTCGACATCCCTAAATCCAAATTCTTGTTTGCTTTCGTGGATTTCTGATTGAAATAGAAAAAAATAAAAAGGAAAACCTCCTTTTCCTAAGCTTAGTTTAAGGTGTTATTCTATAAACAATCACAAAATGGCTAATTTTGGTGGACCCAATGACTTCTACACGAGCGGTGATAATTCATACAACTTTGATATGCCGGAGTTCGAACAAGAATTGTAAGTTGTGGTTGCCATCATTCACACTATGTTATTTATAATGTATTTTTCTTACAGAAATTTTCAGAATTTTGAAAATACACCAACAAATGTACCCCCAAATTATGATATGAATTATCCCAATACCAACAACAGTGGCATGAGTTCATTTTACGATCCAAATGCCTATGCACCAAATCCATACGATCAAAACGATAAGGGCTTTAAAGCTGGAGGCGGTGGCAATACCGGAAATGAGTTTGAAGATGAACCTCCATTATTGGAGGAGTTGGGCATAAACCCTAACCATATCTTTCAAAAGGTAAATTTGAATATAGAAAACATGTAAAGGGATCTCGGACCTAGACCTTAGATATGATGAATCATTGTTGGACAGCTCCTTTTGTTTACAGTAATGTTATATGATCCTTTATTGTATTGTTTGTATTGTGTATTGTTTCCATTAGATTCTTCTTAACGAATTTAAATAATGCCTAAATTGACTTAGAAAATTGCAATTGCATTATTATCCAGGATCTTATTTAATATTTTAAGAAACCGACAATTTTCTAAACTTTGTTTTTTTTTTTTTTTTTGATTACGTGGTTTTTATTGTTTAGTATTTACTTAATTTTTTCTTATTGACAGACATTGGCTGTTTTGAATCCCATGCGTGGAGCCGATCAACAAATACTTCAGGATACTGACATGGCTGGACCATTAGTCTTCTGTTTAGCATTGGGTGGATTTTTACTTTTGGTAAGTGCCTCGCTAGAGATCAACAATGAAACAAATTTAATAAATAAAAATTTTCCACATTAAATTTTCCTTTCAGAGTGGCAAAGTGACATTTTCTTATATTTATGGCATTGGAGTTATGGGTAGTATTGCATTCTATTGTTTGCTAAGCCTTATGGCTTCACAAGCAAACGTAACATTTGGTGCAGTTGTCTCAGTGTTGGGTTATTGTTTACTACCCATGGTGGTGTTATCAGGGGTTAATGTCTTGATAACGATACAGTAAGTAAATACAGTAAAATTTTAATTTAAGCCCTAGTTTAAAAGAGTGGCGCGATGTCAAATAGATAATTCTGGACATGTGCTAACAAATTGACGAAGAATTATTTATTAATATATATTTTACATTTTCAGAGGAACAATCGGTTTAATTGTTGCTGGCGTGTGCATACTATGGTGCTCGTTGTCAGCATCTAAGCTTTTTGTTACAGCCTACTCAATGGATCATCAACAAGTTTTGATCGCCTATCCCTGTGCCCTATTGTATGGAGTCTTTGCTTTAATTACCATTTTTTAATCCATTAAATCAACGAGAATGTTATTTGTGTACTCTATGTTTCATAAATTTAGTTTAATATTATTTCATTTAATACAACAAAATAAAAGATAATCGAAAAATTATTTCAATTATTTTCAAATTAAGACAACAGTAAATGGTATTGTTCAGTTAAATTTCAAAACCTAAGAAAAAAACAATCGAAAAATGTTGTTGCTACATACCTATATAGGACAAATTACTTTCAATTTTCAATATGCATTAATAAATGCCATTAAAAATTTAGTTGAAGATCAGAGAAATGTTGTGAATGAAATGTCCTAAATTGTTGAAGCCAAAGGCTCACTAGATAATGGATTTTGCTTCTGTTTGGAAAATACTTAAATTCTTTTTTATTACGCCTTACTGCCTATTCTAATAGTAATATATTTTATTATTAACCGACAATATTAGTAGCACCTCTGAGTGCTAAATATCCTTGTATAATATCGGATGGTAACGTTCTTATGATACGAAATTCCTCCGCATTGTGATAATGTAGCTTTGTTTGTGGGTCAGTATAAGGTGCTTCCAAGCCGGAAATATCGGAATACTTCTTGGCAGGTTTTAACGATGGTGGCGCATTGAGAGAATTATCTGTAATCCACAACAAGTATATACATATATATCATAATATCTAGTCAATTGGCACATTTTATACATACACAAAACAACATCATCCGGCCATGGTAATGATCTTTCTTGTGTAACAATTTGTTTTAAGGATTTCCAAACAAACTTTTTACCACCAGGTTCAATGTAACTGAATTTGGGATTTTTACAAGAGATTTTGGGACGTTTCGCAGTAACAGCTGTGGTTGGTGACGAAGCATCTGATGTGGTCTTGGTTATATTTACATCCTTCGTTTTGCCCTCCTTATCGTCAGATGCCACATCTTCCTTAGTTGGTGTTATGGATACCGTACTAGATTTAGACTTCTTACACGGAACCTCTTCTCCATCCATTGTCCAGTTGTTAGTACCTCTTCGCTAAGAAATCAGCAACTACTACCTTCGACATCCGGCAATACGATCAGATATATATATATTTTTAGTTATGATCTTTCAATAGGCTTTATTTTGATGACAATTTTGACAAAAATACTAATAAATGCACAAACAGCAAATTAGCGAGTACTCCTATTGTTTAGGGCATAAACTGAGCGACACTACACTGAACTGCATGTACAGCTGTTTCTATGCTATGTAAAAACGACCACAGTTGTAAAATAGGGACATACAGTTCTGATGGAAATATCAAATGAGTTGTTGTTTTGGGAAAGGATACTTGTTGATATACTTATTAAAAATTAATTATTTTATGACACGATCTGCATGATTAGGAAAAGGGGAGTACTTTTAATGCAACCATTTTTCTAAATCTTCCGAAATGTAGTGTCAATTTGATGCGACTTCTACCGCTCATTTTTGCGTCGAGTAATCAATTAGGCAAATTTAGACTTACGAACACCTACCTAAAGGTAAACAAACATAATTGGACATATGGGGAAGAAGGAGAGTAAAGGATTTCATAATACTTAAAGCCAGAGCGGGGGAAAATAATCAAAATAATGTCCAATACGACGAGATTAATAGACAACTTAAAACGTTTTCGTTTGGTAACATTCGACATCACCGATACATTGGTACGTTTTAGTAAACCACCTGCAGTGCAATATGCCAAAACAGCTGCTCAACTGGGAGTCACCGACATAGACCAAAGTGCCATGGAGGCGTGTTTCAAACGCGAATTCAAAGCTATGAAGAAAATGCATCCGAACTGGGGTTACAATACGCCAAATTTCACCTGGCAAGAATGGTGGACGTCTCTTGTAAAAAATATTTTTCTATGCGTTAAGCCGGACATCGACCCTAAAAAACTACAAGAAGTTGCAAACACACTAGTTCGAATCTATCGTACAAAGGAGTGTTATAGTCACATAGATGGCGGAGTTGAACTAATTGATAAGGTGCGAAATAGTGGCAAGAAAGTCGGTGTAATATCCAATTTTGACCCCAGCCTAAGGCAGGTGTTAAAAGAGGTAAATTTGGATGAGAAATTTGACTTTATAATGACATCGTATGACGTGGGTTTTGAAAAGCCACATAAGAAAATTTATGACGCCTGCTTAAATAAATGCAATATACAATCCAATGAGGCATTACATATTGGAAATATGTACACCATGGATTATGAGGGAGCACGTAACGCTGGCTGGAGCAGCATTCTGATAACGACGAACGAAGAAGATCTCGAAAGAACACAACCCACACAAGGTTATCGTAATATTAAAGATTTATTAAATGCCTTAGATAATGACGGCATTAAATGGTAGCTTATTAAGATAACCTTTTTGGATTTTTCTTTAGTTGTATGCAATGGTACATGTTCACATATATTATGATATTTAAGAAACATTTTAGTATTTTGTGTATATTCGATTTAATATAAATAGGTACAAAACAATATAATAAACAAATAGAAAAATGTATTAGAATTTCTAAGAAATATTGCATGCAGACTTTTAATTAACTGATAAGTTAAATGGTTAAAAAAGATGTAAAGTAAAGTGTCCAGGTCAAACATTGCAACCTTCCAATTGCAATTTTTTTGCGTCCTAACATATACGTGTACTCTGTTCCAAAACCTGTAAGAATCTGCTAGTTTTGCAATTTCCTTACATATTATGATGAAAAATCGGTTATCGTAGTAACAAGTTTTACATTCTTGCAGTTCTGGAACAGAGAAATGTTTTTAATAATATTGAAATTGCAAAAATATTGATATACTGTAAAATTGAAAAGAAATTTCCAAAAACAAAATAACTTTTTGCGTTTATAGTAAATTCGAAGCTGTTTGTGCCGTGTTAAAAACACGTTTTTTTATATAAAAATGAGAAATGTTAATGAAATTTATGTAATAAAATAAAAGCAGCATGTTCTGTTTCCGTATATCGCAGTGCTATACACAAAACGGATAAATTAAGGTTGCTTTTAATAAAATATTGCTCTGTTCCAATGAATAACTTATTTTTCACTACAAAAATTACAATTTTGATTTCAGTTCCCCAACAATTAAAAAGTATAATGCATTCATTGTTACAAACAGCCTTTTTTCTAGGGTTTACCGCAATATTTGAACGTAAGAGTGAAATTTTCTCAGGGAACTTTACTAGGTAATTTTTACATACCTATTGGCTTTCTATTTTGGATTACATTTTGTGAAAACCCCAAACTTTCCATTCATGTTTTCTAGTTCATCCCCAATAAACGAAATTGGTGGAAATGTTTAAAATAAACAATATAAGCGTACTATAAAAACATATTTGAAACAATAAGACTCTAGTACATAGTTGCATTTTCCCTTGCTCCTATGAATTTGAACAAACTCTCTGGTTAAGCTTTGGTTGTAAATATAAATGATTATTCCATGTGAATTTAAATCTATTTTAGTTTATTTTTATTAAGTTTTTTTTGACGGGTTTAGAGCGACACAAAAATAATATTTGGGAGGTTGCTTTAATCTACCTTTATTTTCGTGTCATACTTGGCAAAAATGTATTATTTTTTATCTTGGCAACATATGCCTACTTTTTACCACCATATTTAATGAAACTGAATTTGGGATTGTTACAATAAATTTTTGAGTGTTTGCAGTATTGGTTGTGATTGATCATATCGACCTTATTTGGTTTTATAGATAAAATGGATTTGTTCCCTACATTTTAAAAAGGTAAAATATGCCACAATAGCAAAGTGAAAAAAAAAACGCCTTTTCTTTGAATTTGAGATAAAATAATCGCTTTATTCCTTTTCTTTTCAATATGGATAAAGTTTTCAAAAAAAGGATTATGATATTTCCTTGAATTGTGCAGTTATTGCATGGCATAAGAACACATGTAGTCGCATCGACACATCTGCTAGGAAATGAACTGTCAAACCGATTTTGGAATTGAAAATGTTGAATGAAAAATTATTGAAATTTGACAAAAATTTTTAAAATGCATATTATAAATAACAACCTCCGATTTGCGTCGTATAAGAAAACTTATTTTTAACAAAACATTTTAAAAATGCGATGATGCATATTCATGTATTCTTCTACCATGAGTTATTGGTCTGTTCCAGAATGGCAAGAATGTAAAACTTTTTGCTATGATAATCGATTTTCTCTTTGAAATATCAAAAAATAATAATAATAATAATAATAATAAAATAAATTAAAATTAGTATATTTTTGCAGGTTCTGGAACAGAGCATACATGTTCATTTTTTTTTTTTGTTTTGAAATTTGTCCAATTGTAATATTTTTTCAAAAACACATGTTCTCAATAAAAATGTCAAGTAGAGCTACCAGCTGATTGAAATTTTTTCTGGGAGTGCCAAACTTCTATCAATTTTGTTCATGTGTTGATTGTTTTGAAAAATAAAAACATTTTTTTTCAAAATCAATGATGGGAAGAGGGGTACATATCGGAGCGCATATTAAATAAATTTATCGGTTTTGGCATGGAATTGAAAGATTGAACAGTTTGTATCATTTTTAAAAAGAAAATCCACGTATTTCATACATCTTTTGTGCTTTTTACTCATTTTAAAAATATTAAATAAATGAAAACCTGTTTGCATCTGATTTGAATAATTCTGACAGGAAGCGGGCATAACATTAGCTGGGACAATGAACTGTCATGCCTATTTTGGAATTGAAAATATTGAATGAAAAATTGTTTAAATTTGCAAAAATTGTTTAAAACCCTCCGAAGGAAGCGCTATAAAAAAAATAAAAATCTACTTATATTTGAAGAGACATTTCAAATTTTTTGACATATTAATGTTCTTAAGCGTTGATGCATCTATTCCTACACAAATTTTATGAAAGTATGCATTCTTTCAAATTTGAATTTGTTCAAATCATTTAAAGAAACTATCAAACGAAATCTCATATTATTCCATGGAAACGTGTAAGCGCATATTATCATTTAAAATATAGAACGTATGTACGTCATGCATAACGTCGCGCGTCAATTTTGGCAAATTGGAATGGACTGTCAAACAAAAATCAACACTGTGCGTTATTTTGACAATTTATACTTCCGTTGCCGAGGCACTATTTCTTTCTTTTTCCAGTATCCGTCGTTGGAGGTGGGTGCATTTTTTTTACTAAACAATGTATTTGTTTTATTATATATTAAATAATGAATTATTTTTTCTTAATAGAACTGTCATTGATTTTATATCAATTAAAACATAAGAACTAATCAACATGGTTGCCGTCAAGAAGACTGTAAGTTTTTACTCTACACGTGTTTTTATGAGAATTGTCTAACCCCTTATTTATTTCATACGATTACAGAAAAAGGCTTTGGATTCCATCAACTCCAAATTGGCTTTGGTGATGAAATCTGGCAAATTCTGCTTGGGTTACAAACAAACCTTGAAGACTTTGCGTCAAGGCAAAGCTAAATTGGTACTCATTGCCACCAACACTCCTGCCTTGAGGTGAGAAATTTGGATAGTGGATCAAAGACTTGATTGCCAAGTTATTTGGAACAAAATCACTACTTACCTAAGTGCAATTGTGCTGCGGGAACCATATGGAGTCTTGCGAGACTGAGAAGTATGATTCCTCATAAAGCAAATGCAGTTGTAGTTGTTGCTGAGGCACTCTCTGTTAATGCGTGTGCAGAATTGTACAAGATACTATTCAAAAGCATCTTCGAAATGTGTTACAAGACTTCATCGGGTTCCTGTTGCGTTAATTGTATAGAAGTAAGTTGTTGTTTGAGTTTCAAACGAAGACAATTATCATTTTTTTATGATGAATGTATTATGCAGACAATGTTATGTTGAAACATATTTTACTAGAGACTCTTTCTGATGAAAAATTAAAAACATCTATAAGCTTTGCCATTTGCAAGCCATGTAAAAATAACGAATATATTATTTTTTTTCCTTTATAGAAAATCTGAAATTGAATACTACGCCATGTTGGCCAAGACTGAAGTTCAACACTACAGTGGTACCAATATCGATTTGGGTACTGCCTGCGGTAAATACTTCCGTGTGTGCACCATGTCCATCACCGATGCTGGCGATTCCGATATTATCCGTACTGTCGGTGAAAACTAAATTTGTGGACTAGTTTTTATATAAATAAAATCTACAAAGTTATTTTGTAAAATATATGTGTGTGTTTACATTCGGGGTATTAATATTTATGAACGTAGTACGGCGTAGGTTTGTGTGTAGTCTCTCTCGGACCGATCAGAACATTTTACCACAGATTCCCCTCGGGGTCTTGAGCACAGCGGTATACATTTCCAGGGAAGTTATAGGTCTCTGAAGTCCCCTTAGTGTCTGGTGTATTTCCAGTCTTTAAAAGACCAGCCAGGCAAAATGGGTAACGATGTGTGAACCTCTAGTGCCGCAAATTACAAACCCTGGCCACCTACTGAAGACTTTAAATGTTAAAAGGAGGTTCGGTCGCGTTGTCTGTGCTCAGGTCTGTATATAGGTGGTCTATTAACCATATCGCATTGGTTGCTCTTAAACACTGTAAATATCCCAGACACTAGTAGAGCTTTACATCATCGTACTTAGAAATCCAAGGGGTTCCTGTGGTAAAATTTTTAAAATGATCGGTTGTTTTTAATTATATTTCGCCAAAGTATAAAATTCGGAGTCAAAAAATTCACGATTGAGTTTAAATTATAATATGCCACATATTTATACCAAACAACTCTTTATGTACATCGGTATTTTTAGGAAGAAATTTGAGTTTACACCAAGCTGGCTTAAAGTTTTTACCAGGGGTAGCCTAGTTAATTCTGCTTACAACGGTATAAATTAAGGTGAGGGTATATAAGCAGCTTGAAGCCTTCGCATGGCATATTTTGTGACATATCATAAAGTGATACCAGACGCACTCGAATCCTGCTGTCGTCTGCCGTTATAATTTGACATTAATATGCCTAGCCATGATGACATGCTGCTTATGTATCCTTTAGTTTGAAATCCATACTTCTCTAGATTGAGATGGTTTGGTGTAACCCCCATATAATGGTATCTTCCGATATGTGGTATTTTGATGATTTTAGGACATTATTCACCGGAATTGTTTCAAATTTGGATAGGTTCTACAGGCAAAAACATTGAATTGTTATTATTGTATGGTATTTGAAGTTCTTAATGGATAGTACAGCCTATGTCAGAAAATTGTTCGTGCAGGTCCACGTTTTGGTATAGTTCCCATATAATGTTACCTCCGTATATTCGGTATTTTGTTTTTTTTTTCAAGTTTCGCATTTGAATATTGTAATAGCTTATGACAAATGTTGCCTATGCAGGTCCACGTAGTCGTATAGACCCTAATATAACGGCAACATTCGGTATTTTAAGATTTTAACAGAATTTTTAACGATTTTTTTTATTCAAAGTTCGGTCCGGCCGAACATACAGCTTTTTTACTTGTTTTTATCATATACAGAACCTAAAGAATATTCATACAATGTCCTATCTTTGGACTTTCTTCTACAAACACACGCAATTGTAATACCCAAATAATACCATAATACCCATATCTTTAATCGGAAATGGATTAAGACTAGTTCTGATATGAAGTATAATCGATATTCAAATAAAGATAAATATATCCCATCCCCTTTTGTATGCTGCATATAAACGCATAAATATACAAGATCTTGAAGCACAGAGTGGTGGAGTTTGTATACTATACTCTTCCATGAGAGTTATTTAGCTTTCATACTGCTTTTCTTAGCCAGCTGGAAAAGATTAGCACATGAATGAGCAAACTATGTTGATGTCAATGTTTGACCTACTTAGGATTACTCCGACGTTACAATGTAACCCTTAAATGGAAAATGTTATGTTTACAATAATATTCCCACCCCTTCACTGCAAAACAAACATGCGCAGTAATGTTTAGTTTTAACCCAATTTAATTTTTACAGTAAAATTTATTTATTAATCTCAACGAAGTCAATTATTTTTAAGAAATCTAAATAAAAAAACATGTCCGAGGAAAAATTTTGCTGTCTATGTGTTACTTTATCTTCGGCGTATAAAGAGTTGTTCCATAAAAGTGGTGGAGAAACTGCCTTTTATGATATTACATCTAAATACTTCGATCCAGTGGTATGTTCCTATGGGCCTTATTACTTTAGTAACTTGCCAAATAATCTGTAATTATAATTGATAGCTTTTAAATGCGGAGGATGACAAAGAATCCAATGTTGTTTGTCTTGCATGCTGGAATACAATAAATGATTTCTACGAATTCCAAAATGTCATACAAAACGCACATAAGGATTTACAAGAAAGTCTTAGGGAAATCGCAAGAGAGGCTCTAAATGATGAATGTGAAAATGACCTAGAAGAAAACAACTTGGACAGTCAAACAATTGAAAATGGCACAGCAAATGAAGGGCAAATGGATGACTCTAAAGAAGATGAATGTTGCTTAGGAATCGATGACGATAAAGTGTCGCTGCAATTAAAAAGAAAACAGAGTCTCAGGAAGAATACAATATCAAAAAAAGAAAAGCAAAATCGGAAAATTGAAAAAGAAAACATAGAGCATGATGCAGAAGATTCCAATTCAAATGAAGAGTTGAATATAGATGAAATAATTGCCAAGTGGAAACCAGCATTGGAATGTGTAATATGTTCCATTACTACAACCACATTTGGACTGCTGCGAACACATTTTCGTATACACCATCCGGGTCAGAAATGCTATATTACTTGCTGCGAACGCAAATTTTCCAAGCGGTGTGATGTCTATGAACACATACAGCTACATCTTGATCCCAGCACATTTAAGTGTAAAGTTTGTGGCAAATGCAGCACAAATAGTCGCAACTTGGCCAAACATATGCGTGACTTACATTCCGAAAGGGGAAAAATTAGACCATTTGAATGTGGTGTATGTCAAAAATGTTTCCCGAACAAAACAAAGTTGCGTATACACATGGATGTGCACAAGACCGAACGTGAGTACGCCTGTAGCATATGTGGCAAGGGATTTTCGACGGAACAACGTAAAAAAGTACACGAAAATCTAGTGCATAACGTCGACAAAGTTTGCGAGCTATGCGGTAAGACTATACACGGCATATACGCTCTCAAACAACATCTATTGGAGCATCAGGGTGTTGAGAAACCTAAGTGGCCATGTGATCAATGTAGTGTCCAGCTTTATTCTCATACAAGTCTTAAACGCCACAAACAGTTTCGTCATAACGATGGATCAACCACACACATTTGTAGCGAGTGCGGTAAAAAATACCAATCCGAATGTGCTTTAAATAGTCATAAGCGATTAGTACATACCCTCGGACGAAAACACAAGTGCACAATTTGTGACAAATCTTTTAAACTTCCCAAAGTTTTGCGAGAACATATGGCATCACACGAGGGCAAAAATTTGTATCAATGTCCCCATTGTCCGAAAACATATCGAATGAGTTCTAATTTATATCATCATCGCAAGAAAGCGCATCCCGATGAATGTTCAAAAAGTAAAACTAATAAACCTGTTACAAGTACAACAAGTATTATAGAAACTGAAATTGTGAATTAGTAAAATTTGCTTTGTAAATTTTGTGGATAAAATTCCACAGACTAGTAAAAGTTTTTCTTTTCTTAATTATGAATATTTTGTTCCCTTAGAAATGAGTTTTCTAATAGTGAATTTTTTTAATAACTTCTCATATAATAAAGTACCTGTAAATCTCATACCCTATTTTAATGTTATATTAATTATATTTTATAGAACAATGTATAAAACAAAAATTCCCCATCAAAATATAATATGTGTTTTAAGCATTGAGTTCTTATATCACTACCTGAAAATAAATAGGATGTAAATGAAAAAAAAACTACAGAAATATTCATTACTACAAATTAGGCCATAGCTACCGACTAATTTTAAAAACTACTAAAAACAAGTTTAGGGTATGCCCGTTATCTCACTTTCGCAGTTGTGGAGGATACTCGGCACGGCCGGACTTAACTGCTTACTTATTTAAGAAATGTTTGAGTATTTAATGCCATTTGACTGTAACCTTACATCTGTCCGAAATTAACATCTGATTCCATTCACACATTTCAATATTTCCATCAACACAAGATCTGTTATGATGGTAGAGATCGAACTATTCCTTCTGGTACCTCCCAAACAAAGAGTTTAAATTTTGAATGACCAAAACGATCATAATAACCGAAATTAGCATCCGGTTCTCTTCAAATCACACACATGCGAATATTTTTATTAAAACAAGGTGTGGTGTGAAGATGGAATATATCGGTCCACTCCTTCTGGTACCTCACCTACCAAGAATCTTTTTGAGTATCCATAAAGGCACCTCCCCCACAAAGGGTAAACATTTTAAATAACTAAAACGATCGTAAAAACGGATATAAACATTCTGTATTCTTTAAATTACGTCACAATATTTAATTAGCCCAAGGTTTGGTGTGAAGATGGGATATATCGGTCCACTCCTTCTGGTACCTCCCCTACAAAGGGTCATTTTGAGAATCCATGAAGCTCTTACAACGCGAAAATAACATATGATTCCATTCAGACTTGATACATCTCAATATTTCCGTCAACACAAGATCTGTTATCGCAACATATGTTTTGGTACCTCCCATACATAGGGCTCAAGATTTTGAAAAACAAAACTCTCAAAGAAAGCGAAATAAGCATCCAAATCCATCCACCCATCTCCTCAAATTTCCCACATACAAACATTTTTGCTAACACGAGATCTGTTGTGAAGATGCTATACATCTGCCAACCTTACCCACAAAGGGTCAATATTTTACTTATATCTGTCATAATTTGCTACATCTAAATATTTCTCTTAATCAGAGATCTGATATGAATATGTAAATTATCGGAATTAATGTTTTTGCATAAAATTGGATATAAATGTTCGATTCCCTTCTGCATTAGATGAAGTATGAAAATGGAATACTTCACGTATTTTTCCACAATTTCAAAAAATTGCACATATCTAATATATAGTATAGGAAGCAGTCGATATATTCCGAATATATTACTTAGTAATATTTATATCAGACTTAGGTCAGATACGAATTGGACAAAATCTACCAACTGCTTCGGAACCTCCCCCATAAAGGGCCAACACTTAGAATAATCATAACTCAAGGCTAGGGGCATACATCTGTCGGCAAACCCGAGTGACACTATTTAACTTTTTTTTTGATTATATGTTGGCGCAGATATTCGAACAAGCACCTGAGGTTTTATAGTTTGTAAAAAAACACATGGATTGAGGTTTTGTCCCAGATTATTCCCGGAAATTATTACCGTATATTGGGACCCTATGTGTCCAGTCTTCCAGAAATGATATTGCTCTGTTCCAGATCTTAAAAGAATCTACTAGTTTTGCAATTTTATAGAAATAATAAAAAAGAAAAATCCGTTATCGCAATAAACAATTTTACATTCCGAAACACTACTTTGTGTTATTTTTCCGTTATCTATATCTATCTATTCTATATATATATATATAAATCAATTGTTGTTTGTTGGTAACGGAATCAGTTGAAAACGGCTGAACCGATTTGCATAATTTTTTGTACAAACGTTTGTCATACCCCGAGTTAGGTTTTTAAAGAAAAAAATATTGACCACGCCTCCTTTTACGCCCACTATTTCGATTTATCTAAAATCCTTATATTTCCCAAATAATGAAGATATTGGTTTAAAAATTATTACACGAGATACTGTTGACCTTCTCTCCAACCCTAAGTATTTGTTTGGGGGCTGAAGAACTGACCACGCATACTTTTTAATCTATCTATACATCTATATATATAAATGAAAGTTATGTTTGTTACTACCCTTATAACTTAAGAACCGCTGAACTGATTTTAATGATTCATACAAATTCGGAATTGTCTCTTATCCGAAAAGGATAATATCCAAAAAAATCGCGTAAAAATGTGATATGTTAACATTTTCATTTTGACTTTTGAAATGTGCAATAGTAATGTTTTATTTTGCATGATTTTTTCCATTTTGACTTACTTTTTTCTAATGTACATTTGTAGTGTTTTTATATTTTAATTTTGAATTCGAATATTAATACCAATTTATTTAATTGACTTGATTTCTTGAGAACTGAAATTGATGGCGGGTTACATGGAATATAGTACCGAATTATGTGAAAATTACTTTTTCAAAATCGTTAAAAAAAACACGAAAAAAGAGATCTCATTGCAAAAATTCTCAAAACGGGAAAATATCGAAAAAAATTTCCAATGGAATTGAATTTTAAAATAAAAGTACATTCTATTGACAAACTTTGTAAGGATCTTTAAACAGTTGCTGTAAAAAATCAGCAAACAAGTTGAAGGTTTTTTCAATTTGTTATTTTTCTTTTGTCAATTTTTTCAATTTGTATTATCATATTGAGTTCAGTGGATTTTTTGTGAACAAAATAAAGAATAATTTTTCACTATATACAATTTTTCACCAAAAAAAAAAAAAAAATGAAATAAGTGCGAAACACGATGGTAACTGACATCTACCTTTCAACTTCTGGGCCTACATATAAACAAACAAAAATGACCGAAAAAGACTAATGGGGCTTATTTCAAAGCGTGGACCTACTTTTTTCATGTGACAATAATCCGTCCAATGAGAGCTCAAAATGAAAAAAATTTTGGGAGTACAATCAGTAAAATACCAAAATACCAAAAATAATACAATGGGACTTTTAGTAAGAAAAGGATTTCTATCCTTCCAAAAATTCTTCCCGAACATTTAAGATACCTTAAATCGCTTTTGCATGACCTGCGATATGATATATGATATCGATCATAAATAACCATTGTATGATTTAAGCTATTTTTGGAGTCTTCGTCATTTTCTTCTATTTTTGGCCCTTATTTGCCATCTTTGTTTCTTTTGTTTCTAAGGGAGTAGAACATTTTCGGAGTAGGGCCCATATTGGTCTTGACCACTAAAAAATTGTATTTATGCTACCCTGGGGTAAGGAACCATCATACAGATAATTGCATTTGGAAAAACGATAGTAGCAGCTAGTTCCGCGCTCTTTAGTGAAGATGTTAAATTTTCTCATGTCTCATTCGTAAACAACAGAGTACCCGGGCGTTATGCACTCATTCGTAAACAACAGAGTACCCGGAGTCTTTGCTTTCTGTTTATTTTTTATCAAGTATTGCTTTTTGGCCTTTATATTCGCTTCGTTGGGACGTTTTCCATTTTTGTTTCCCAATTGGTTTTCGGCTGTGGCCCTTAGTGGATAATACCAGTCAAAAGGAAGAATTGCTGCGAGTGCTTCTGGCCACATCTGCTGGTGGACATAAGCCCATAACACTACTGGAACAGTGTACCAATTTATTGCAGCAGGAGTCATATAAAATGTAATAATACATTTAAAGTAAATAATGTACAACAATAAATCATTGTGCCGCCTGTGCGTGTCCTCGCAATCAGAATATAAAAGCCTGTATGACGACAATGGCCAAGGAAATGAAGTTTACGAAATTACTCTGAAATATTTTGATCCTATAGTAAGTGTTGGAACAATTTCTTGTAATAATTTGGATCTCGCTTATGTATCTATATTGCATTTTCCGAATTCTGACAGTTACTAAGTCCTGCAAATGAACAGGATTCAAAAGTTATATGCTTGGAATGCTGGCATCATATCAGTGAATTTTATGGTTTTCAACAATCGGTGCTTCAGGCTCAAGCCGTACTGCAGGCCCAGTTGGAGAACGATGTTAAACAGCTAGTTCCTGAAGTTAAGTTGGAAGAGGAGGTATTGCAGGAGCCACTACAAATCAGAGAGATAGCTACAGCGGAAATTCCAATTTGTAATGATAGCCTTAAGGATGAAAATATCACCTCAGATAAACATGACTTTGGCAGCGACTTTGAAGATGACTTTAGGGATGACAACCCCTTCTCCACTGATGACGATGAAAAGCCTCTTATCGAACACATAAATAGATTGAAAAATAAAAATAAGACGAATAAACAACAAAATAATGACAAATCATTAGAGACGCCGATGGCTGTTAGGAAGCCAAGAAAACCTAGAAGCCCAAACAAGAACAAAAAACAAAAGGAGACAGAACATACAACCAATAGAAGACGGAAAGGAAGGCCTAAGAAATTACAAATTGAGCATGTGGAAGATCAAATCAACGACCCCAATGCTTCCGCTAATGAAATGGAAGATGATGACGGTTCTAATAGTGAGAAGAAATCCGTAAAGGAGAAAACAAAAGAATGTGATGAATTTATTGCACAATGGAAACAAGAATTGGAATGTGTATGTTGTCCAGCAACGGTTGCAAATTTTACACTACTTCGCAAACACTTTCGACTAATGCACCCAACAGAAAAATGCTACGTTATATGCTGTCAGAGGAAATTTTACCATCGATTTCACATTGTCGAACATATACGACTACATATTAATCCTAATGCCTTCAGATGTGATGAATGTGGAAGATGCAGCACCAATAGCCGTAACTTGGCCAAACATAAAAAAGAAATGCACACAGAAGAGGGTAAACAACGTCCGTTTGAATGTGATGTTTGTCATAAGAAGTTTGCCAATAAAACCATTTTACGAACCCACATGGAGGTACACGAAGCCGGTCGCGATTATGTATGCAGCGAATGTGGCAAAGGGTTTCCATCGGAAAATCGGCGCAAAATTCACGAGCGAATGGTACATCAAGCCGATCGGGTATGTGATCAATGCGGCAAGACCATACATGGTATTTATGCTCTTAAACTGCATTTGATGGAACATGCCGGTTACAAAAAACCAAAGTGGCCTTGTGATGAGTGCAACGCCCAACTGAATTCACATTCGAGTTTAAAACGACATAAGCTAATAGCCCATCACGACGGTAGCACCGTCTACATATGCAGTGAATGTGGCAAAGTGTTTACATCAGAGAACGCATTGCGAAGTCACAAGAGAATTGTTCACTTAATAGAACGAAAGTTCAAATGCAATATATGTGAAAAAGCCTTTAAGTTTCCGAAAATATTACGTGAACATATGGCCTCACACACCGGCGAAGATCTCTATCAGTGTCCGCACTGTCCAAAAACGTTCAAGGTTAGCGCAAATATGCATCATCATCGAAAAAAAGTCCATCCAAAGGAATGGGCTGAAGCTAGGATTAATAAACCGGTAACGAAAAAAGTAGATATAGCTTTGGTATCCAATGAAATTATTATGTAAAAAGTGCACATTTCTATAGAATAAAAATTTCATGTAAAATAAAAATAATAATAGTTGTAAATAATAATTTACAATGTAGGTCATGGAAACACAGGAATAAGATTGTTTGCATTACACAAGGCCGGACAAGACGACCACTTTTGACGACAATTATTTATTTTGAGTCAAAATTTTTGATTCAAAATTTTGTATTTTAAGTCAACATTTTAAATTAAAAAATCCGTGGTCTGAAGGTAACCTTTTACTGTCAATGAAATTAAAATTTATTTTTTCCACGCATGTGGTAAATTTTAAAACATCATTTTTTAGATAAATGTTTGGAATTCATCTATCATTTTCACTTTGTGAATTAAATGCATAAATTCGCAAGAAAAGTGGCATATTTTTAGTTAAATTAAAAAATAACGACGTGTGACAAAAATAACGAGCCTTGACCTTCATAAACAAGTAAATAAGCTGTAAGTTCGGGCGGGCCTATCTTTGAATGCCCTCCTCCATTTGGAACGAATTTGGAAATTTTCAAAAGAATAAAATCCCTTAATCCGTTAAATACCGAATATAGAATATTAGGACCTAAAGGACGACACGTGTCTCCATAGGCAACTTTTGTCACAAGCCATTACAATATTCAAATGCGAAACTTGATAAAAAATTAGGTGAATAATGTCGCTAAAATCATCAAAATACCGAATACCCGGAGGTACTGCTATATGAGGGCTATACGAAGACGAGGACCTGCACAGACAATTTTCTGCCACAGACTGTAGTATTCATTACGAACTTAAAATACCTAATTTAAAACATTTCCGGAGAATAATGTCGCTTTAATCACCAAAATACTGAAAATAGGGAGGTACCATTTATGGGGGCTATACAAAATCGTGAACCTACATGGTCAATTTTCAATACGAAAAGTCCTGCAGACATAATATACATTTGACTAATGTTTTATCAACCTACTTAATTTTGTTCGAACAGATGGATGGTCAGCGCTTAATCGACAAAGAATTTCATGCTGATCAAGCATATGTATACTTTGTGGAGTCTAAAATGTATATTTCGAGGTGTTACAAACGGAATGACAAACTTAATATACCCTTCATCCCATGGTGGAGGGTATAAAAACGAACGCTTAAACAGTGCTACGATCAATACCACTCCATATGCTTTTGACAACGCTCAATACCAGATGAATGTATTATTTGCTCTAAAACCTGAGAAAATGGTGAACATTTTTTATTTTAAATAGAGTTAAAATTTAAAAAATGAATATTCGCATAGAACAATATTCATGTAGTTTTTCTAGATTAATTTTATTAATTATTAATAAGTATATTTATAAACAAAACATTTAAATTAAATTTACAAGGGTTTAAAATGCTGTCACCAAACTAGCAATAGCACCGAAAAATTTCTTTTGGAACAACTCTAGTTCTAGTCCGGGATAAAGACCCCGCCTGGACCCAGATCCACTTACCCGATATTGACAATATGGGTATCGATTGAAAGCTTATATCGTAGCTTATCCTGCTACGCGAAATATACCTTTTTTTATTTAAAACATAGTTTTAATGAACTGGTTAAAATCGGGTTATGGGGATGGAAAGACCCATATCTCTGGACTCAGTAAAGGTATTAGCACAAATTGTAGCATTTTGGGAAGGTAAGAGTGTCAGCTATAATTTGGCATCAATTTTGTTGTCCCCCATAATGAACCCTTTTTTGACTTTTTGGGGGTTTTATAAAAAATCGGTGTCCAAAGAATCGATCATTTAACTATAACTTCCGAACCGTAACATCTTACCCCATCATGTGACCACTTGTTGGATAGGTGTTTTAAGCTTTCCAACGATATCTATATTGTATATCGGGTAATTTGATCCGGGTCTAGTCGGGGTCTTGAATCCGGACTTTCCGGTCAAAAATCTGGGGTCCCAGGTTCGTCCCCCAAAAAAAAAAATAGTTTCCCGGGATCAGGGTAAAAATACCTACCACTGAAAAAAAATTCGAAAAAACTGAAGAGTTTTTACTAGACTAGAGTTAGGCCTTTCTTTTATAAAAAATACAAAAATTAATAAATTATAAATAAATAAATGTTAACAGTTTTATTTTAGCTTTGGAATTTTGATAACTTCCATTGCTTGAATGAACTAGTCGAACTAAACGAAACAACTGGATCATCCTCCTTATGGTTCACTTCAATGAACATTTTTATTGAACATTCGCATTGGAATCGGAAAAACTCTAAATTCTCCTGTTTAATAAACAAATGTGGAAAAGTTAGAAAAGTAAATATGGATAAATCAACTCTATGCCGATTATGTGTGGAAATTTGCGCCGATTGCAAAAACCTTTACGACGAGGATGGCAGCAGTACACAAGTGTACGAAACAACTGTAAAATATTTCGATCCCATGGTAAGGCAACAAAACCCCAATTCGTGACAACAGCATAAACAAATCTTCCTATGTTTACAGTTATTAAGTTTGGAATTGGACAAATCTCTCACAGTGATTTGTTTGCCATGTTGGAGGCATATCAGCGATTTTCATGAATTTCAGCAGACCGTGTACAATGCCCAAACGAAGTTGGCATTTGATATGAAGCAAGCCGACATCAAGACTGAAGACGACTCGCTTAACGAACAAATTCCGCTGGACATTGTTAAGGAGGATCCAGTGGAAAGTATGCTGATCGATCAATCACTCAACGTTACCACAGAAGATGATAAATATGAGATATCTCTGCCCGAAGAATTTTATGACGAACCTCATAATTCCGTTGAATTTACTTCAGACGACGAAAGACCATTGCTAGAATGTCTAAAGAAAACCAGAAAGAAACGTACCAAAACAAAAAGTCCGAATAAAAAAGAAGACAACGGCAAAACTCCTAAGAAACGTGGAAGGAAGCCGAAATGTGCTGATGTCAACAAGTCCAGTGAAATTGATGTAAACAGTTCCAAGAATCAATGTGATTCTTTTCCGTATGGAGACAATTCTCAAGATGGGCATTTATCATCATCAATTGGTGGCGACACCGATGACAATTCTGTCGGAAAACCACCAGCGAAAAACGTTGGCAGACAACGTAGAACCCAGGAAATAGATGAATTTATAGCTCAATGGAAACAAGATTTGGAATGTGTCGTTTGTGGTCAACTTTATCCGAATCTTACGTCGCTGCGGAAACATTTTCGAGAATTCCATCCCAAACAGAAATGCTATATTACCTGCTGCCAACGCAAACTACGTCATCGTTTTCATATCGAAGAGCATATTCGCATTCATTTAAATCCCGATGCCTTCAAGTGTGATGTTTGCGGCAAATGCTGTACAACGAGCCGGAGTCTAAATAGTCACAAGCTTGAAAAACATACCGCTGAAGGCCAAGAACGAACATTCGAATGTCCTATATGTCAGAAACGATTTGCCAAGAAAACCGTTTTAAAATGCCACATTGAAACGCACAAAACTGGAACGGATTATGTGTGCAGTGAGTGTGGCAAAGGATTTGCAACGGAACAGCGCCGCAAAGTTCATGAACGAACCGTTCATAATGTTGATCGAGTTTGTGATCAATGTGGCAAGACCATCCACGGTATATATGCCCTGAAACAACATCTACTAGAACATCAGGGCATTAAAAAGCCAAAATGGCCCTGTGATATATGTAATGCCCAATTGTATTCACATTCCAGTCTTAAGCGTCACAAACAAGTGGCGCACAATGACGGCAGCACAGTATACGTCTGCGGTGAATGCGGAAAAATTGCTGCAACCGAAACGGCACTGCGTAGTCACAAGAAGTATGTCCATCAAGCTGAACGCAAACACAAATGTACAATATGCGATAAAGCCTTTAAAGTGGCTGTTGTTTTGCGCGAACATATGGCTACGCATACCGGCGAAGATCTGTATACATGTCCGCACTGTCCCAAGACGTTTAAAGTCAGTTCCAACATGCATCATCATCGGAAAAAGGCACATCCCAAAGAGTGGGCGGAAGGCAGATTGAATCGGCCCACAATAGCAAAGGTTGATATCAATCAAGTATCAAACGAAGTGGTATTGTAAATAGAATTAATAAATATCAAAATATTTACTAAGTAAAAAGAAATTATGTGTTTTCTTGCTTTCATGTTAAAGAGTAAATGGCGTTCGTGGACATGTCGTGCTTTTTGTAGTTTAACCGTAGAATGAAAAACTACCAATTGAAATATGATGTCACAAAATTATACATTTCCCTAGTCCACAGTTGCATATTTCTTTTAAATCCAACCTTTGTTTTTGTAACATGCAAACTGAAAGACATATTTAGATATAGCTACCAATTTCTATCCGATTTTAGATCAGCTGTGATATTGATTCGTAACCAGTAACATCTGAACCGATTTATACAACGTATTTATCATTGAAAGCTTTTTACAGCCTGCTCCAACAAGTGGTCATATGAAGAGGTTACTTTGACTTGATAAGTAGTTAGATAGATAGACCGCACAATGTATATATATTCTGTATCAGCGTAAAATTCTAAGACGATTTAGCGATGTCCGTCTGTCTATATGTTGTAATAACGCTATCCTTCGAACGAATTGCCCCAATATAACGGTACCTCCCGATATTCGGTATTTTCGTGATTTTAGGGACATTATTTACCGGGATTGTTTAAATTATTGAAATTCTTAATAGATATTACAATCTATGACAGAAAATTACATATGCAGATACAGGCTTTCGTATAGCCCCCATATAACGGTACCCCCTACTATTCGGTATTTTGATGATTTCAGCAACACTATTCAGCGGAATTGTTTCAAATTTCGTTTTTAAAGTTCCTAATGGGCACTATAGCCTGTGACAGAAAATCGCCTATGCGAGTCCACGTCTTTGTATGGACCCCAAAATAACGGGGATTTTAGTGACACTATTCACCGGAATTGTTACAAATTTCGTATTTGAAGTTCGTAATGGGTACTACAGCATATGACAGAAAATTGTCTGTTCAGGTCCATGTCTTCGTATATCTCCCATATAACGTTACCTCCCGATATTCAGTACTTTCATGATTTTTGCGACATTATTCACCGGAATTGTTACAAATTTCGCATTTAAAGTTCGTAATGGGTACTACAACACATGAAAAAAAGGTCCACGTTTCGTATAGTCGCCATATAACGATTTTCATTTAAGTGGCAGTTTTCGGATTTTTTTTTTAATTTTTTCAAGTTCCTTCCAAATGGTGGAGGGTATTAAAAGCTCGGCCCGGCCACCTGTTTTTTTCTTGTTCCCTATTTCAAATAGAACCTTAATAGTACAAGTCGGGTCAGTACAAATTTTAAAGGAAAATATCACTGGAAGTCGAACATTTCGGGGAAAATGTACACTTTAGTAAGATTGGTAATAGTTCTGAGAGATGTCCTTAATATTAAATGTATATATTATTGAAAGCGTATTTTACTCTTGGTTTGTTTTTCGTTGATCTGTTTTTTCAGTGAATCGTTCATTTGAACTAGTTCGTTTGTGAACTACACAACACAGTTGCCTGCAGTAATGTAGTAATGTAATGGTCTGTTTGGTAGACAGGAGTATTCAATGATGGAAACGCACCCATTGTGCCGGCTCTGTGTAGAAATTTGTAGCAATTGTCAAGATATTTACGATGAAGATGGTAACAGTACGCATGTATATGAAACGATAGTCAAATATTTCGATCCTATGGTAAGACTTTTGCTATTGACTGTTGTGTATGGTTGTTAATAGCTTGTCTTTTACAGCTGCTGAATTTGGACATGGACCAGAAAAATCCGATTATTTGTTTTCAATGTTGGCGTAGCATTAGTGATTTCCACGAATTTCAGCAGTATGTTTACAATGCTCAAAATAAATTATCTTTGGGAATGGACCAAACGACAGACATTAAGACAGAAGATGATGAGCTGAACGATCAATTATCAGAGGATATTGCAGAAGAGGACCTAGACGAGGATATGCTACTGGTAGGATTGGAAATTAGCGTAGAGGGAGATGATGGAAATAACAATGCTTTTCCGGAAGAATGTTCCGAAGAAAATTCTGATTCAGTTGAGATTGAATCGGAAAATGAATATTCTAGGTCTGGAAATGACATAAACGGAGCAAACGCTGAAGGTAGAAGATCTGACAAAATACACGAGAGGTCTGAAAAAAGCATGTCATTTACATTTAAAGAAGACAATACTCAAGATCACAATTCAGGTGAATATGGCTCTGAAGATAAATATACGTTGAAAGAATTACAAGGCAAGACAAGGATGGAACAGCCTACAATAAAAAGCCACACAATGGAAGCAATCAGCGAACACAGGATGCCTAACGAAAATAACATTCACAAGGATTCCGAAATTATGTCTTTTACATTTGAAGAGGATTCTCAAGATGGCAATATATCACAACCAAGTTACGATGATGACTCGAACGACCATGCCGACATCAAAACTTCCACGGAAAATGACAAATATGCCAGGCAACGTAGGATAAAGGAAATAGACGAATTTATAGCAAAATGGAAAAAAGATCTTGAGTGTGTAGTTTGCTCTGAATCCTATCCAAACGTTGATACCCTGCGTCGACATTTTCGAGAGTGTCATCCCAAACATTTCTTTCATGTCATCTGCTGTCAAATTAAATTGCGACATCGATCCCATATCTATGAACACATTCGGATACATCTTGATCCGAGTGCTTTTAAGTGTGATGTTTGCGGAAAATGTTTTAAAACAAGCGAGAATATGAATAAACACAAGGTTCAGAAGCACACGGCAAAAGGTCAACAACTTTCGTTTGAATGTTCAATGTGTCAGAAGCGATTTTATAAGAAATGGGCACTTAAACATCACATGAATACACACAAAACTGGAACGGATTACGTCTGTGAGGAATGTGGCAAAGGATTTGCAACCGATGAAATTCGGAAGTTGCACGAGCGAAGAGTACACAATATTGACAGAGTTTGTGATCAATGTGGCAAGACTCTCCATGGTGCATATGCCCTGAGACAACACCTCTTGGATCATCAGGGCATTAAGAAACCTAAATGGCCCTGCGATATTTGTAAAGCCCAATTGTCCTCACATTCCAGCCTGAAACGCCACAAAAAGGTGGCTCATACGGACGGTAGTACCGTGTACATTTGTGGCGAGTGTGGAAAAATTGCCGCCACAGAAGAAGCTTTGCAAAAACATAAAAGTGTTGTGCATCGAGCCGAGCGTAAATATAAATGTACAATCTGTGATAAGGCCTTTAAGACAGCGATTTATTTGCGTGAGCACATGACAACTCATACTGGCGAATCTCTATACACGTGCCCACATTGTCCAACAAAGTTTAGAGCTCGTTCGAACATGTATCATCATCGGAAAAAAGCACATCCCATAGAATGGGCTGAGAGCAGACTAAATCGTCCAATCATAGCGAAGGTCGATATAAATCAAGTCTCCAACGAAGTAGTTTTGTGAAGAGATGTGAAAAATTGAATGTTTTCGGGAACATTGCTCGATTGTCAACGGACCAGGCGTATCGTCTGTAGATCTTAATCTTGGGTAACAATTGTACAAAATGTTACACGATGTTGTTTGTTTACATAAAGGTCCAATAAAACAAAGAGTGAATGAGGAGTGGAATACCTATGCTGAGAAGTTACTGGGTTTCACTGATACATAACAGGTATTTATATGACTGGAAAATAGAAAATGGAAAGATATATTTGGTCAGCTGATTTCTAACTAATTCTTACAAAATGTATGTTGTAACTTTCCTAGAGTAACTTCCATAGATGGAGTCATGATACAACCATTGCAAAGTAGGGCAGGTTGCTTTAATTTGAAAAACACAACTCGCCTTATTAACTCATTTTAAAAAAATAAAATAGTATCAGTCGGTTTTGCCGACAGATGTATACCCTCAGCCTTGTGTTATGATTGTTCAAACTGTTGACCCTTTATGGGGGAGGTTCTGAAACAGTTAGGCAATATTGACCAACTAGTATCTGACTTAAGACAGACAAAAATATTACAACGTGTCAGATTTGGACTATATCGACTACTTCCAATACTTTATATGAGATATGTGAACATTTTTGGAAAATATTGAAATATGCGTGAGGTAACAGATATAGCGGACCGAAGTATACCATTTTCATAATGCATTTAATACAGTTAAAAATATTGGTATGTGCAAAATTTGATTAAAATCGAACATTTATATCCAATTTTATGCGAAATAATAAATTTCGATCAATAAGATATTCCTATCAGATTTTTGTTTGAGAGAAATATTGCCGACTCATGTCGCAAGTTATGACAGATAAAAGAATTGAAAATTGTGACTCTTTGTGGGTGAGTACCAGAAGGGGTTGGCAGATATATGTAATCTTTACAGCAGATCTTGCTTTAGTAAAAATTTTTTTAAGTGTTAAATTTTGAAGAAAGTTTTCTTCGAGCGTTTTGATTTCACAAATATCTTGATCCCTATGTGAAAGAATGGTCCGATTTCTATCATCTTAACAACAGATCTTGTGTTTATGGAAATATTGTGATGTGTGAACCGGATGCTTACCTCGGATTTTATGATCGTTTACCTCGTATGGGGGAAGTGCCAGAAGGAATGGTCCGATCGCCATCATCATCAAAACTAGACCCATAGTTACTTTTGAGGATCTTCATAGAATCACTTTCTGAGTCGATTTATGCATGTCAGTCCGTCTGTCCGTCCGTCCATGTCCATGTATTCTTGTGATTGAGATGAAATTTTCAAACAATATTTGTTTTGGTGATAATTGGATCAGATTTAGATATAACGCAGATTAATCTTAATTTCGGTTTTATTAGTTCATATATAGGTATAGCTCCCACATATATGTTTCATCCGATTTGGTGTTTAAGTCCCTCACATTCGTAATAGCATTCAAAAACAATGATATTTGGTACCAGATGTCAGTTACAGCCCAGAAATACCTCTGCCAAATTTAATCAATATCGGTATAGATTTAGATGGAGCTCCCATATATATCTTCAACCGATTTTGGGTTAATTGTGCACCAAAAGTTCAGAATTTTGGTACATCCGACCGAATACAGTCCAGAAGCAAGTACATTAAATTTGGTGAAAATCGGTTCAGATATAGCTATATCTCCAATATATATGTCTCATCCGATTTGGTGTTTAAGTCCCTTACATTCGTAATATGCATCCACAACAATTATATTTGGTATCAGATGCAGCCCAGAAATACATCTGCCAAATTTTATCAAGATCGGTTCAGATTTGGACATAGCCTTAATCCGATTTCAGGAGTATTGTGCAAATAAAGGCTAATTTCCGCCCAAATGGAGTGAATTTTGGGACGTGCGTTTCCATTTTGTGGAACTCGGCCCCCATATATATATATTTTAATATAATCCTCCTCGGAATCGGATCCTGGATTGGGTATCGAAATGACGTTAATGTGAACATAGTCTAAGTTTCCGTTGCGTTACGTTTCTAATAACTTACCGATGTTTTTTCGATTACGTTTTCAATTGTATTCGTAAATAAAATAATTTAGTTGAAATCAAGACCCAACAGGGACTTTATAACAAAAAAGCTAAAAACCCTGGACAATTGTCCATAAATGGATATCTTTGAATCCAAAGAAAAGAAATTAACTTGAAAGGGTCCTGATATTTCGGACTTTTTGCGCTACAAAATTGTATTTCTAGCAGGCGACATATAATAAAACATCTAAATCTCTCCCAGATGCTACCTGTGAGGTTATCAATGGAATGTATGGACCACGATCGAATTTGCTAAAACCAAGAAAAAATCGCGAAACTTTAGAAATTTAATGGCATAAGTACATTCAACAGTACGATGGCTCTGTACTGACTCTATTCAATTGGAATGTTCTCAGCTCAATCTTGAAAGATGGCTCAAACAACTCTGTGCCGACTTTGTGTTGAAATTTGCAGTCAATATGAAACATTGTGCGATGAAAATGGTGAAAGCAATGCCATATACGAAACCACTGTCAAATATTTCGATCCAATTGTAAGTGAAGCTTTGTGGCATTTGTTATCTACTCTTAAGGACACTACTAATTTATATTACAGCTTTTGAATTTGGATCAGGAGAAACAACCCGTAATATGTGTTGGATGCTGGCGCCACATAGATGATTTCAATAAATTTCAAGTGTCAGTTATACTGGCACAATCCAAGTTAAATGAATATACTAGCTCACAGGTAGAGCCGGAGACTATAGTTAAAACCGAAGATGCCATTACTGAGGAATCTGTATTAGATTATAAGGAAAATATTGTTCAAATTTTTACCACTGCAAGTAATACCAATATCGAGGACAATGGGTATGACAAAGACTTTATTGGATTTCCAGAAGTGGATGGACTCGATGACCATCGTGATACATACTTCAGTTCCGATGATGACAAACCTTTGAAGATTCCCGTCAAAACCAAGAAGAATGATGATTGCATTAACGTTCCCAAAAGACGGGGAAGAAAACCAAAAGTGAAAGATTCAACAACTGTAAAGGAAAGCGTTTTAGATGTAGCCAATTCTGGCGAGGTAGACAATTTAATAAATGATGTTACATTAAAAGAAGAGGAAGCGGAGGACGATACAGCGCCCTCAAATGATGAAATCGGTGCAACAAAACCCAATAATTCAACGAAAAGATCATCCAAAGAAATTGACGAATTTATAGCAAAATGGAAACAGGATTTGGACTGTTACCTATGCAGTGCAACTGCCCCAAATATGATGGCTTTACGAAATCACTTTCGTAAACAACACCCCAAGCAGAAGTGTTATGTTCTTTGTTGCCAAAGAAAGTTGAGTCGTCGTCATCAGCTGGAAGAACACATTCGCGTCCATGTTGATCCTGGTGCCTTCCAGTGTAAACTATGTGGCAAATGTTGTACAAATAAACGAACTTTGAGTAATCATATGTACGAACAGCATACCGAGCAGGGACAGGAACGATCCTTTGAGTGTCCAATATGCCATAAATGCTTCGCCAAGAAACCGGTGTGGAAACGTCATATGGAAATACACGAGCCTAACAAGGATCATGTGTGCAGTGAATGTGGCAAAGGATTTCCAACCGAACAACGTCGTATTGTACACCAACGAATGGTTCACAATGTTGAACGTGTATGTGATCAATGCGGAAAAACTTTCCGCGGCATCTATTCACTGCGGACACATTTGCAAGAGCACGCTGGCATAGAGAGGCGAAAATGGCCATGTGATCAGTGCAGTGCAAAGTTAAACACCCACGCAAGTCTAAAGCGTCATAAATTGGTGGCCCATAATGACGGCAAAACCGTTTACATATGCAGCGAATGTGGAAAAGTGGCCCCATCCTCAGTGGCATTACTTAGTCATAAGAAATATGTTCATCAAGCAGAACGGAAATATAAGTGTACCATTTGTGATAAGGCTTTTAAAACCAGTCTGGTATTGCGCGAGCATATGGCCAGCCATACAGGTGAAGATCTCTATACCTGTCCACATTGCCCGAAAACGTTTAAAGTCAGCTCCAATATGCATCATCATCGTAAAAAAGCCCATCCCGTAGAATGGGCTGCAGCTAGATCGAAAAAGCCAATGACGGCGAGTATTAATATGGCACAAGTGTCACAGGAAATAGTTATGTAAATATTTTATACTATAGTTAGATGCATAGATTTTTATGTAATTAGTGCAATGTAAATATATATACAGATGTAGGACAAAATATTTTAAAATAACTGAGTTTAATTTGTGAAGACGACAAGTATTTTATGGAAAATCCAAAACTTATGTGATTAGGCAATTCTTTATAGCTCAAAGAACGTAAGTACTTTGCATGGTCTTGAAATAATGATTCCAAATAGTCTGAACAAAACAATTCTGCCTCTTAAGGGGTGTCGAGACTTCCGAACGGAATGAAGTGGGTTGATAAAATTCTACTCAAATATATTTTATGTCTGCAGAAGTTTTGGAATTGAAAATGGGCCATGTAGGTCTACGTTTTGGTATAGTCCACATATAATGGTACTTTCCTATTTTCAGTATTTTGGTGATTCACCGGAAATGTTTCAAATTTTGTATTTGAAGTTCGTAATGGATACTACAGCCTATGACAGAAAATTTTCTGTGAAGGTCTACGCCTTCGTATAGCCCCCATGTAACGGCAACTCCCGATATTCCGTATTTTCATGATTTTAGCGACATTATTCACCGGAATTGTTTCAAATTTGGTATTTGAAGTTCGTAATGGATACTACAGCCCATTGTCAGTGCAACTGTACGTGCAGGTCCACGTCTTCGTACAGTCCCCATGTAACGGCACCTCCCGAAATTCGATATATAGCCCCCATATAACGGTACCTCCTGATATTCTATATTTTGATGATTTTAGCGACATTATTCGCCGGAATTGTTTCGCATTTGAATATTGTAATGGTTTATTACAAAAGTTACTTATGCAGGTCCACATCGTCGTATATACCCTAATATAACGGATACATTCGGTATTTTTAAGATTTTAAAAGAATTTTGTTGTTGCAAAATGGTCAGACTTAATCCCTTTATTGTTGTTTTTATAAAAACAACGTTTTTTATTAATGGAGAATGATGGTAATGTTTACCAGGGGGTAAAAAACGTTGTTTTTATAAAAACAACAATAAAAGGATTAAGCCTGACCATTTTGCAACAACAAAATACTATGGTATACCGAACAATCAAGACAACACTGTTCGATTTTAAAAGAATTTTTTTGGTTTTTTTTTTTTTGGAAATTGCCAAATTCGTTCCAAATGGTGGGGGGTATTCAAAGTTAGTTATTTGTTAATTTTTAGAACAAGCCAGGTTTAGGTCTCATTTTCGATATTTCCTATGGGTCTCTTTTTACAACAATAGCTCAGTAAAAACTCTTGGATTTTTCCGAATTTTTTCCATTGGTAGGTATTTTTACCCTGATTCCGGGAAATTATTTTATTTTTTTTTTCGAACTAAGTCAACCTTAAACTCATTTGTTTCTCTACGAAAAAGTCAGCCGATGACTTAGCCAGTCAAAAAAGCGTTTTATGTATTCTCACCTTTAAGGTGGGAATACATAAAGCTATTTTGGCCCTACGCTCCTTTGTTATTTTCCGAAAAATCCAGCCGATGACTTAAGCCAGCCAAATAAGCGTTTTATGCATTCCCACCTTAAGAAACTTAAAAACAATTCAGGTCGTTGTAGTAAGGACGCCAAAAGCAATTTGTAAAATATCCAGAATTTGTTGCCGTTCACACCCTAATTCACCACATAGCTATTGGAAGATATTACCAGTACTACAAATATGTATAAGTAATTATTTGTTTAAAAATCCCATACCTGTATCATTCCATTAAAGATATATAAAAAACAAAAAAAAATGATCTTGTTATTTTTGTAAAATACGTTTGCAGTGCTTTTGCGAAACGGAATTAACAAAATTTATGAAAAATCGATGTTGCCACCTTATTGAAATTCGTAAATAAAAAAAAACGTGTTTGATTTGCCCATCAGATATATACCGAATTTACATTGTTTGTAGGAGACAGGGTGCACTTTCAATTACGTTGTTCGCTCTCAGAATTAGGGAATTAGGTACACGAATTAACCCGTTCATACGCACGATTCGTAATTCATAGTAAAATAATTCCTTTTTTCAAAAATTTTGTTTGTTGATTTTAATGGGAATTTATACGAAAATACATGAAATTCTCACTAATATGAATAGAAGAAATTATTGTTTTTCTCCCAAAATTTTATTATATCATTAATTTTATAATTTTCATTCATGTTTTCAACTTTTTGTGTAAATGTTGACATTTTGAACGTATTTCTTTATTTTTTAAATTCTGATGGAGAGATACTTGTCAAATATTTTTTCTGCCGATACAAACATTTTGAAAATATTCCAGATTCTGTAGAAATTTCATCTCGTGGACAAAATGCCCACCTCGGATGGGAGAGAAAACAACATTTACTTTCGTTTGAATGTACATACGCCATTCAACATTGTAGTTTTCATTCATAACTTTCAGTCTTCCCCAAATTTCATTAAATTTTTCAATTTTGAATTTTTAAATGTCATAATTTGTTTTTTCGATAAATGCTCTCATTTGTTAGGGATGGCACACACTTCATCTTAGTTCTGAGATTGATTTGATTTGAACAATGTACAAATATGAGTGTTCGCTTAGGAAATTTTGTGTGAAGAATTAAGTAGTTTTTTCATAGTTAAGGGTCAAACAACGAATAGAGAGCGAATCAAGTGCAGTGGAAACGCCACATAACACAGCTGCTGGGGCAATAAACTGTCAAACCAATTTTGGAATGGACAACATTGAATGACAATTTATTTAAATTCGTTAATATAGTTGAAAAATGCATTTCATAACAACCTACGTTTGTCGTCGTATAAGAAAGCAAAGAAAAATCTACTTATTTTTGAAAAAAAAAAAAAACCTTAAAAAAATTGTTGACATATAAATGTTCCCAAACGTTGATGCATCTACCTATATTCTTCTATCATGCGTGACATAGACCATTGCCGTAGCCATAATCAAGTTATCAATTACCGATGCCATGACCATATTAAATGTACATAAACGAATACAGGAAGATGCGTCGACGCAGCTGCTGGGATGAACTGTCAAACCAATTTTGATATTTAAAAATTCGAATGAAACATTTTTCAAATTTTTAAAAATAGTTGAATAACATATATCACAAAATCCTCCGATTCGTGCCGCATAACAAAACTTAGAAAAATATATTTATTTTTGAAAAAAACTTTTCAACATTTTTGATAGATCAATGTTCGCGAGCGTTGATGCATCTACCTATATTCTTCTACCGTGCTTCTAATTAAATCTTAAGATCGATTTTAAAAATCTGTTTTATATGGTTATAGCATAATTAGAAATATTATGAGAGTATATGAAAATGCTTCTTTTAGGTGTAATACAAAATGTCCTTTTTTTATAAAAAAAAATAATTATATATATTCATCAATATTATGCTTCTTAAAAATGTATATGCTCAATATACTCCCAAAAATATCTGAGGCTTCATAAATTTAAATTTTATCGATATGCCCTACTGCGCTCAAGAAAGTAGAATAGAATATGGCATTTGGAGACTCTAGTCTCTTATTAAACTTTTTTGCCTTAACATATCCAAGGTTTCAATAAGCGCAGAGTTTTCATTGTGCACAGGCTGTGTTAATCTATTGTCTGCCTCATATAGATACAGCCTTCCATCTAAATCACCAACTGCAATATGTTTAGCATTTGGCATCCATGAAAAACGATTAAGAGCTGGTTGACCATCTACAATTGTAGATACAATAGGTTCCTCAGAGTCCATATTTATATTCCATAAATCAATATGACCACTTTCATTTACAGTGCCAAATAGAGCAGGATTTGTTGGACACCATGATATATCCATAACATAGTCGAAGTTATTATTAATGGTATGTAATGGGGTTTCACTGTGTAATGACCATAATTTTATGGTCGAATCAATAGATGATGTTAAAAACAAGTGATTAAATTCTGAGGCTGATGAGTGTGACATCGATATTCCACTTATTGGACAGTCGTGTTGTTCATATTTAGCCTTGATGCCGTCATTTGCATCGAAACGATTAGCTAAAAGTCACAAATATTCAGATCAATTTGCATTGTAAGGGAGTTGTATATCTTATATCTTTATTTTGATAATTACCTTTGTAAACACATCCATCTTCACCACCCACAAGGAAGTCGTTATATTCAATGTCTGCAAACGTCATGCAGGTTGCTGCAATGGGACGTTTTTGTTTGGTTCCTAATGTGAAAACATCAATCGGCTTAGATAGCATATCCATGTTCCAAGTACAGAAACGACCATCAAATGAAATTGAATAAATATTGTGAGAATTAATATTTAAAGATCGAATGGGTTGTACATGAGCTCCGCTATTCAATTTGGTTGTTTGTATTGGAATTGATTTCGATGAACGTGTATCCCACATGACAATTTGTCCTGAATAGGTTCCACCAATAATAATGTTTGGATCGAAGTTATCGAAACAAATTGACATAACTGCGCTGGAAGAATGCATTATGTATTCCGGATATGTTTTGCCAAAAGATGCATTCCACACCAGTGCCATACCCTCTGGTGCTAAGGGTTCATTCTAAAAGATTATGAAAATAAGTCAGGGATAAAATGCTCAAGATATGTATGTTTAATTATACCACATTGGAATGATAGGATGCGACAATTCGATCAGCTACAAAAGGCGACCAATCCATGTCGGTTATACAACGATTGGTTGTAAGTTCACACTCAAACATGACATTTAATAATACTCCTGAATATGACACATCGTCGGCATCATCAATGCTGGTGTTAGGTCTCGTATAGTCCTTTGTTATATCTCTATTATTGGCAACTACATTTTCGACTACACTACCTATGCGGTTTAATGCATTTTGAAAATTAGTATTGGAAAGAAATGCTAGCTTTTCTTCTTCTGTTAATTCTGTAACTAAAAATATTGAGGTTTGATTAGGATTGTCTTGAGTTTTTACAAATGCGTCCCTCACCGCTTTACGCTCTTCAATTATGCTCTCTAAACGAGTTATGGCTGGCAGCACAAATTCAACCTTTGGCAAACCTGGTGACATACAACCGGGTGGTAATTTTGATTTGAATCCTCCCTCTAAAATGTCATCATCTTGGCTATCTTCAATATTTTTAATAACTAATATTTAAATACAAAACAATAATTATTTGGATATGTTTTCATTTCGATAATAGAATGAATAGAATATAATTAAAATTGAATTGCATAATTACCTAAACGTTGGAGACAAGCATTGCTATTTTTAGTTTGAGTTGACTTAGTAGATGTGAGTATTTCCCGAGGCTGAATATCCGTAATTTCTGTGTGGAATACTGTTAACTTGGAAAGTTTTTCCGATATGTCTCTAGGAATGAACATACGAAGAAAAAATTATTACAAAAGCATATATGTATATGTACAAGGTACCTTTTAGGCGTTTCAACGTTGTCCTTGAGAATTTGTATATTTTCGTTTTCTTTTTTCTTGGAACTAGACACTGTGGGGTTTTCTATCTGTGGTGTTAATCTCAACGTCTCTTCACATATTTTATCAAAATCACTGAAATAAAATTACTTTGTTAAAGATATTTGTTTTTCCCTACATAAAGCAGCATTCTCAATACTAACACAAACGACTTGATTTTTTCAATATATTTTTCTTTCGCTTTTTCAGCATCGCGTGCAGATTTTAAGAGCTCCAGTTGTTTTCTTTCCTGGCGTATCTCCTCCAATTTTGCCAATTTTCGTTTAATAACATCATCGAAGTTCTTTCCCGACATTCTTAAATGCTTTCTGTATTACTTTTGAATAATTGTGGAAATAATGCGACCAGTCATGTTCTGAATACCATTTTGCTAATAAAACCACAACTACATCATATATTGAGTTCTATATTTAAATCATAAACTTGAATTACCCACCGAGTGTTACTGTAATAACTGTATAAAGATTTCGAAGGCACCCTACATCAGTATCAGTTGTATGACCCTAAGACACAAATACAAGTTGTTTCGAACAACATATGAATACGAGAACACGAATAAGTAGCAATGGTTTGAGAATGAAAAAATACATTTTCTAGATCTAAATTTTTTTCGAAGATGATTTTTGGCATAGCAGTTACTGTTTTTTTAATATATCATCATTAAGAATTTGCTAGCAATATGAGAATTGTTGCGTTTTTTTCGCGCCAAAATTCTAAATGAATTAACCGCAAAACTAGTACATTATAAGATTATATGCTATGAAACATTATGCATGGTTCGTAAATTTTATGGGAATGCAATGGAAAACACCTAGCCCAATTATAATTTTTAGAAAAAATACTAGGTGTCTCACAATTGTCCTATCACTGTGCAAAAAGATACAGTCGAATGGAAATGGAAACATGCCCTAGGACCGCAGCAAGAGCATTTTATATCGCTGTTTTCCATGACAACTTTCAGACTAGAGCTGATTGAGTCATCGTAAAATTATAAGGAAATATTTACTGGTATATTTTGTTATCCTGTTGATTATTTTTTATTACAAAATATTTTGTTTTAAATTCATAATAGAATTCAAAGTATTATACATGAAATAAACGTAAAACTAGTACATTATAAGCTATGACCATTATAAATTTTATAAATGGTTTATACTTTTTATTAGTCTCTCATTTCGCCTTCTTCATCTTCATCGTCGACGCCTTTAATGTACAAAACGTTGTTGCAACGAATCAAGACTTCTCCCAAATTTCCTGTAAATAAGACGTAAATTCTTAGTAACAATTTCACTTTTTGGTAATTTATTCAAGTTACTACCGGTGACTTGACCATCAATGTGTTCCTCTGTATTGGCCAATTGCATGTTCATGTAGCCATCCACAGACACCAGATAACCTTTATACTCATGTCCCCATTTAAGTTTGATTATCACAGCTTTACCCGTTAGACCATTCAGAAATGGTTTGGGATTAATTGGCATAGCAGCAGACATTTTTTACGGAATATTTTATTTATTACTTTATAATCTTTATAATAGAACACGCGTGTTACAAGCCAAAAAATACAAAAAGTGCGAGCGTGGGAAACAAAAATGAAAAACGTCCCAACGAAGCGAATATAAAGGCCAAAAAGCAATACTTGATAAAAAATAAACAGAAAGCAAAGACTCCGGGTACTCTGTTGTTTACGAATGAGACATGAGGAAAACTGAACACATTCACTAAAAGAGTGCGGAACTAGCTACAAATGCCATGATATATAAAAGTGTAGTGTACACAATAGGTTGGTCAACTAAAATTACTAATAATTCAAAGCTAGAAGAAATATCAAAAGTTGTTTACGTTACAATCATGACGCAATTTTTTCAATCACAAAAGCATTTCCACATCCTGTGATATGGCGCAAAAACAAGACAAATTTGAAAACCATATTTAATGTCAAAATTTGTTTATACTTTTTTGGCCATTGCTCATCTCTTATTCTGCGATTTGGGTCACGTCAAAATCTATAATTGTAATTGAAATCACAGAACAAACGATAAACAATAGTCAAAAAAGTGTAAACAAATTTTGGCATTGTATCATTTTTTTAAAATTTACAGAAACACCTTGTTATTGCGCCATGGGTCATGCCATGGTACAATGAATTCAAGGTAGGGCAGAACTACCATATGATTTAAATTTTTTTATTTTTCTGGCTTAATATGTCAACTTCATTTGCTTATGTGTGTGTCTTCTTTTCAATAATAAAAAATTGTTCAGAAAATATTCAAATTCGGGTGTTTTCAAAATGCTTATTGCAACGAATGCATCGACAAAATCTACAGTTTTTGTCGCGAAATAAACCATAAGAGATATATAGAACATGATATTGAAAAGAAATTTTGACCATTCATTCAGTTTTCGCGGTTTTAAATTATTTATTCAAAATCAATGCAACAAGTTGTTTGGTTTTTTATTGTTTTGATAGTAATTCTGACATTACAAGCCAAACAGGTAGACCTCTATACTTGCAATTTTTTCAAAGTTGACCTACCTTCTCTTCATTGTACCATGGGTCATGCCTTATAATAAATACTTGACTTTTTCGCTTTGCAAATGTCAAAATTAAGAAATGTTAGGGAACTGTATTTCTAACACCGTTGACATTTATTATGGGCCTGAAGAATGTGATGTACAAAACGTAAGAAAAGATCTGCCAATAGAACTTGAGTCGAACCTGGAGAGTTTCTAGTGTATAATTCGCATATGCTAATTTGCAATAAGTTCGAAATATATACTACTTTCCAGAGAACGGCCCTTGTAAGCCATCATCCACACCAAATATGCCTGATGAGCCGCTTAACCAACGGCGAAACGCGTCGCATAGTGGTGAGTGTGTGATAGTGTCTATCTGGCTTTCCTTTTCACTGCAAATTTCAGATAATTAAGCTCGTCTCAAAAGAGAAAACAAACACGTAAGCTAAGGCATTTTTTCGATATGATGAAGTGAAAATTAGTTATCGTTGTCAATTATTTATACCCTCCACCTTGAAAATGAGGGTATATTAACTTTGTCATTCCGTTTGTAATCCCTAAATATTCGTCGTAGACTCCATTAAGTATAAAATTCTAAGTTGATTTAACGATGTCCGTCTGTCTGTTGAAATCATTTGACGTAGAGCTTCACAATTTGGCAGAACAATTTGTATTATATCTATGATAGTTGGTATTGAAAATGAGATGTATCGATTCACGTTTTAGTATAGCCGCCATATAACGTACCTCCCGATATTCGGTGTTTTGTTGATTTTCGCCACATTTTTTCACGGATGGGTTCTGTCTCCGGTTGCGAAACATTGTATGTATAGATCCATGTTTTTGTATAGCCTCCAAATTACAGTATGTCCAGAAATTCGGTATTTTGATGATTTTTGTTTGAAAATTGGTATTTGTAGTTCATAATGGGTTCTAACTCCTGTGGCGAATATAGTATGTATAGGTTAAAGTTTTCGTATAGCCTCCACATTATGGTACCTCCGAATATTTAAGTCCACGTTTTCCTATAGCGCACAACGATACCCACCGATATTCGGTATTTTGATAATCCCAGTCACATTTACCCACGAAATTGTCTCAAATTTGGTATTTGAGAAGATTTGACAGATGAAAATCCTTGAAGTTTAAAATTGTCTATAGGGATTCCCGTTTAGGTATGGCCTCAGCCACTTTATTAGCATTATCCAAACGGTCTTACTGGAACAAATATAACATCCAGTTACTTAGGGTCCGCAGTATTTGGTCCAATTCGAATTTGACAGGTCCAAGCCAAATTGATGGACTGTAATTATGAATTTATTTCCCATCCATTTGACAGTTCAAAGAAGATCAGCTGATCAACAATAACTTTTCTATGTCGGTGAATGGAATGGAATTCTGTCCCCAGTTGGCAAAAATATTCGCAAGCCGCCACTGAGAAAATCATTTGCATTCTTCGTCTGGTCTGTCGTTCTGTTGCTTATTTTTTTTATCGACCATTCTGTCTCGTCTTTTAATTCGTATCGTTTGGAACGCTTTTAAAATTCCTTTGGAGAAATAATTGTTCGCGGGTTTTTAAGTCCTTATAATATTATTTCCGTATTTTATGTCCGCAGGGGTTTTGTTTCGTTCGTTTAAACATTATGTCCAGTATTGTTTGTTTAATAAACCAACTATGTGCTGAATTGCGTTCCGAGAAAGTGACTACACGTAATAAAGCTGCCGAACAATTGGAGAATCATCTGGGCTCCTCCAAAAATGAACTCTTCGCCAAACTGCCAAAACGGGATGAGACCAATGTTTCTTGGACTACAATATTCAATAGTGTTGTTGATGCCACCATCAAACATGCAATTAAGGTGGACGAATCCAAGGACACAAAGAGCCAGGCGCCATTGCTTAATAAGAACTATCTCTACAGTTCCATTGTCAACAAGTTAATTAACTACAACCTGGAAGGTATTTTATGACATACTACTGATAAGATTAATGATTTAACTATTTATTTTTTAAGATCCTGAGCATTTGTTTAACAAGGCCACACTGTTCAATGGATTTCAAGAAGGTTTCAAGAGTCGTGTTGCAGTACTCTATTTCAATGACATTTTCCTATGCATCTTGAATCAGGGATTATTTAAGTCTGCTGTCTACATTAGAGACATGAAGGTCAATGAATTCAGTCGTAAGTAATGGAAAAATTATGAGCCTTTATTTCTCGGATATGAATGTTCTGATATTTTTGTTTGTTAATTGCAGTCATACTTTCGTACCTTTTTGAAACCAACAAAGGTACTGACGACCTATTTCGCTTTGCATCCCTAAAAGCCATAACAAAAACAATTGAACTATCCCATGAATATGTCCAAATGAGTGCAGATGTTATTGCCTATTTTCCAGAAATCCATGAGTTTGCGAACAGAGCCATAAAAGATGGTCAAAAGTCCGAAGTCATCAAATTGTATTTTCTAATGATTTCTCAGGTACAAAGATCTCAAAGTCTCTAGCTTTTAGCAAATTTCGAAAGATACATATGGTATTAGAAGAGCTCTTTACTCAGCGCTTTAATTTACATTAAAATTTCGTGTAATTTATGTTCTAAGACCTCTATTTGGAGAAACCCCCATATCGCATATTGCATAAGCTAACAACTTGTTGATAAAATCATATATATTTATGGTTGTTAAGAACCGGATTGAAAGCCATTTGCTGTTATGAACAATACAGTGATTCCAGTTCTAAGTCCTTTGAGACACGTGAAAATAAATCAAACAAAATTACATTTCTGCGGAAACAATCTACAAAATATTAAAATTTCTTTAACATTTATAAAAGAAATTGTCTGAAATTTTTCGAGACATTCGTCCATTGGATTACAACAAAACACACCAAATATGTCCAAATCAGTGGAACATGTTAGGACATTTGTCTCTGGCCTATTTAACATCCGAAAGCGTACCAAAAGTCCCATACAGTGATCGCTACCAACTTTTCGTAAATAAAGTGTTGGAGGAAACTATTGATTGCTTTACCTCAAATTGCTACAACACTGTTGTAGGTTTATCATCCAGTGCGGAATTCCATCATAATTTGTAAAACAACACTCAATTGCAGCTCCGTACAGAATATGTTGCTGTCGTTCCCATTACCGTTGTGGCTTTTAACCGTATCAAGGGAAGGATCGCACCAAAAATGTAAATGGAAAGGTGGAAGATTAATGACTCTATTACGCTATTCTGTTTCTATTGAATACTGATCTAACTCGCTTGAGAACCATAAAAACAATGTATATATATGGAAGTCAAATGCTCAATTTGTATATCCCACCGTGTACTATGGAGGATTTACACGCATTTGCAACTGAATTACAATGAACAACACAAAGTGTGCCTCTTTTTCCCAGTAAACATTTTTGCACACTTTGCCCGAATTAGGAGTGTGCAGTTTGCAGACATAACAATCATAGTTTGACAAATAGCGCTAATTGACAACTCTTCATTTTTCTTCAATAAAGAATAATCCAGCGATTATTTTTCGAGACATTTACACAGTTGTAGCCACCTGAAGGTTGAATTCTCGAAGTGGGAGAAAACTTCCCCGAAGATACTGCCGGATTAGCGAAAAGTTGTGACGACTTACATTAATGGTCAACAGATTGAACGAGAAACCAGTGAGGAAAAGTCAAAAGTCGGGCGGGCTGACTATATGCATATGAAGATCGTAACAAAAGAATTTATTTGAACCTATCAACATTTCCGATCTCTATCTGGTACCAAATATCATTGTTGTCGAATGCATATTACGAATGTGAGCGACTTAAAGACCAAATCGGATGAAACATATATATGGGAGCTATAGCTATATCTGAACCGATTTTCTCCGAAATCGATGTAATTGCTTATTTCCGAGCTTTATAAGAAATCTGGTACCAAATATCATTGTTGTCGAATGCATATTACGAGGGACTTAAATACCAAATCCGATGAAACATATATATAGAAGCTATTGCTATATCTGAACCGATTAACACCAAATTTAATTTACTTGCTTCTAGACTGAATTCGGTTGGATGTGCCAAAATTCAGGTCATTTGGACTGATATTGGCCATTTGTTGCACAGTTAACCCGAAATCGGTTGAAGATATATATGGGAGGTATATCCAAGTCTGAACCGATCTTGACAAAATTTGATAGACTTATTTCAGAGCGGTACCTGATATCTGGTACCAAAGATCATTGTCGTGGAGTGCATATTACGCTTGTGAGGGACTGTAAAGCCCAAATCGGATAAAACATATATATGGAAGCTATAACTATATCTGAACCGATTTACACCAAATTTGATTTACTTGTGTAGAACACTGAATTCGGTGGGATTTACCAAATTTCTTTCATTCAATCCTTCATTGGGACTGATATTGGCCATTTGGTGCACAATTAACCCGAAATCGGTTGAAGATATATGGGAGCTATATTTTAATCTGATCCGATTATTTGGAAAATTTCATCTCAATCGGATATAAAATGCGACCTACATTTTGTTCACAAGAATACATGGACAGACGGACGGACGAACAAACGGACTGACATGCATAAATCGACTCAGAAAGTGATCCACAAAAGTAACTATGGGTCTATCTGGCTTCCTTCTTCATGTTACAAACAAATATACAAAGACATAATTCCCTTACCACTATGTTGTGTAGGGTATAAAAAGGGATGTTCAAAATCGGATAGGCTAAATCACCTTCCAACCCCTTTAAAAGGAGGATAAAACCTTGGTCTCGTTAAAAAGTCATAATAACAGAAAACATACTTAGGAAAGCAAAAACCTAATTAAAAATTGGAAAGCAACAGTAGGGTGGTGGAGAAATGGGATGACGCCTCGAATTCAAAAAATTACCAGAACATTTTTATAAAAAAACTAACTTGTTTGCAACAACAAAAAATCCTTTTTTGACAAGGCTAGGTTTGTATTATGGTTTGTATGTTAAATATTTTGTTGCTGTCTGTTTGGCCGGAATTTTCAATAATTTTGCAAACTTATCAAATAAAACAGCGACTGATAAATAAATCTCCTTTTCAATTTTAGCATTCTGTTGACTATCACAATATTATATGTACCGATTTCCAAGTTGTTTTGCCCATTATTATTGGATTTTATCAATACAATATGAAGGCTGAGACAAAGGTATTTAAAGAAAAAAATCTCACATCCAAAGCGAAAATAAAACATTTCATTTTCTAAATTTTAGGAATTACTTTTTAAATCTATACTGATATCACTGCAAGCCTTATATCCTTATATACATCAGGGTGATACCAACACCATTAACATTACCCTCCACAATACATGGACGAAGACGATAAGAAAACTTAAGACATTAATCGAAATTGAAATAAAGGAACGTAAAAGTAGTCACTATCAGTTAAGTCGTTCTCAGCACAGTGATAAAAGTCTGGAGGTCTTTGTAAAAATGTCTGCCCTAGTAATGTATTTGGTAAGTAGTTAATAAATAGTCTACCTTGATGTCATTTAAAGTTGATTTTGATTTGTTACTCAAGTTTTTGTGGCACTTTGATAACAACACCAATGATGGAAATTCTGATAAGGATTCATCCGAACAAAAATCCAAAATATCAAGGCCCGCAGACAAGATTGAAATTTTATTGGATTTAGTACAGCCCCAAAAACTGAAATATAATGATATTTGGTAATAATTTTTTTCTCATGATTTGTTCTTATAAAATTGTATTAATTCATATTACACCCATAGGTTAGCAATATTGGCAGAACTTGTTACTGCAGTCGATACCATTGTAAATGTGGCAAATTATCAGCAATTGCTGAAATTAACATTAAACATTCTAGAGGATTATTCTAATGGAAGAAATATGCAATGCATTCGTCTGTTGCTAACTAAACTGTTAGTCAAAGAAAAGGAATTTGTGGCCACAAAATCTATTCCCGATAATTATTGCCACGAAGAATGGCTGCAAATAAAAAAGACTCTAATAAATGATACATCGTCGTGTTCAGATGTCATTGCTGAAAAACAAAAGCTTTTACAGAAACTTATTTTGCATCGAAAATTGTCCGTCGATTGTTGTACAACCCTTATTAATTCCTTTATAACGAATGCTGCTTTGAGGAGAACCGAATGTGTACAAACATTAAAAGAAATTTTCAAAAATGCCGACCATATTGGTTTGGACAAAACATCTAATCTTGTTGGTCAGTGTATTTCATGGCTATATGGTGATAAGGATAGAAATGAAGCCAAGAGCATACTACTGCATATAGAACCAATAAAACCGCAATTAATAGCCGATACATGTGCCATAGCTGTCATAAATTTTCTCAGTGAAGCATCACTAAATGCAAAGTTCACTGCCGAAGACTCTATTTTAAATGATAACTTACAAAATCTACAATTTAAATATATACGAAAATTTTTATGTCTAGAATGTCATGCCAAAGCTTTACAATTACATGAGCAAACGACAAATTTAAAGACTTTACAATCACCAGCGAATTGTCTATTCCAATGCAATTATGAACTGCTAATGCGTACTGTGAACTTTGAAACAACTCAGGGAACAAGCTGTAAGGATATCCTAGAAGATTTAACATCATTACAGAAAATATCGATGCTTATGAAATCGCTTTTGGAGCATGGTGTCTTTGACGACAACTCGTTTATGCAATGTCCACTTATCAAGCGTATTGGTTTCTTTTTGAGTCACTTGGAGGTATTTTAAATATAGTTTTTTTAATTTTCACTACCTAATAACAACTCTTTGTTTTTGTAGCTACAATTCAAAAATAACTCCTCAACAGCAATAGAACGTTCGACACTGAGTGAAATCCTCAATCTATTGGAATATATTATTAAATGTTTTACCAGCAATGTTACTCTCTTGCAGTATTTGGAGAAACAGCCGATTGAGGAAATGATTCAATTTTTGGGTACATCTTTGAAAATTTGTGGTATGTTTTGTATGCGCACGTTATTTATTTATCAAAAATATTGAAAAGTTTTTTCTCTTTTACAGCAAAAAATTCAACCACACAAACGGAATTCGATGACTGGACTTCAATAGCTGACAAAATTCTATGTTTGTTGGCAAATTTGTGTGCCAGCTCAAGCCATTGGAAGGAGGCTTTTGAATATGTGGCGAAATACAATTTTAATACAAAAACTCAAACCGCAATCATTTTGCAATTGACAAAGGTACGTACTTGGCAGTATTATGTATAACTATAATTTATTTTTTTATGGAAAACGGCGGATTGGACGCGGTTGGTAACTCCCCACTCGGAGATCTGTTGTTCCATTGTCTTCATCCTAAATTGGAAAAAGAGAAAATGATTAGAGACTGGAGAAATAATATGATAATTAAATGGTAGTCCACGAATAAAAGTTCATCATGACGTCTTTAGCCACTTAAATTGTCTGGCTAGTAGAAGACTTACTACAGGTTCTGTGTTAGATAATGAAGACAGATCATGTGTTATTTGATCTCTTACGAACCTATGTCTCACAGTGACGTGAGTTGGACAGCCATATGGCTAGAGACAGTTTATATCATTTGATACGGCTAAAACGTGCCTCATCCAAATCCATTCAGACTTGGCAAGTTTCAATATTTCTATCAACACAAGATCTGTTATAAAGATGGTAGAGATTGGACCATTCCTTCTGGTACCTTCCTCACATATGGTCAAAATTTTGAAAAATCAAAACGATTATAAAATCAGAAAAAAAAACATCCGGTTCTCTTCAAATTACACACATCACAATATTTTCATTAACAAGGTCAGGTGCGAGTGTGGGATATATCGGTCCACTCCTTCTGGTCAAAAAAATTTTCCATGAAGCTCATAAAACGCAAAAATAACGTCCGATTCTATTCAGACTTGGTACATCTAAATATTTTAAATAAACACAAGATCTGTTATAAACACGGACGTGATCGCACCATTTCTTCTGGTACCTCCCCCAGATAGGGTTCAAGATTTGAAAAAAACACGCTCAAAGAAAGCGATATAAGCACCCTCTCTCTCACCCACTCTCTTCAAATTTTACACATCCAAATATTTTTGCTAATGCAAGATCATTTGTGAAGATGATATAAATCTGCCAACCCCTTCTGGTACCACAAAGGGTTACATTTTCCAAAGCCTTTATCTATCGTAACTTGCGAAACAAGTCGGCGATTCTTTACAACTTTCTATATCTAAATATTTCCCATAACCAGAAACCGGATATGAATATGTAATTTATCGGAATTTATGATTTCGAATTCCTTAAAATTTTGCACGTGCCAATATTTTTATCTGTATTCGATAAAATATGAAAATTGAATACTTCGGTCCGCTATATCTGGCACCTCACGCATATTTCCACATTTTCCAAAAGTTTGCACATATCTCATATAAAGTATAGGAGTAGTCTATATAGTCCAAATATGGCATGTTGTTATATTTATATCAAACTTAGTTTAGATACGAATTGGAGAATATTGGTTAACTGATTTGGAACCTCCACCATAAAGGGTCAACAGTTTGAATAATCATAACTCAAGGCTGGGGGTATACATCTGTCGGCAAAACCGACTGACAGAGCCTGCAGTATTCGGTGACGTCGTACCTCCCCCTCCCACTTTGAAGTCATGACCCTTATATTACAGTGTCCGTAATTAGACCAACCATAAGTTTTAAATCGACTGATACTATTTTACTTGTTTTTTCCTCATCCTGGCAGATCCTACAGTAATCAGTATCATGGATATTTCATTTAGAGGTCACACGCTACAGTGACCTGTGACTAAACCCAAAATTTTTAGGTCAGGTTTCTCCGTGGAGATGAGCGATCTTGTCCTCTTCTCGCAGATTATAGATTTAAAAATCCCTCACATTCGCAATATACAGTCCTCAGCAATGATACCAGTTATCACATATACCTCACACTTGGATCTATGTTGATCTATCTAAATCTTGAAAAATGAAATCTAAAATCCATACATAAATCAAAAACCATTAATCTCTCCTTTTAGATATTCTGTAGGCAGAAGTCTCGTTATGTCAACATTGGATCATGGTTTGTTAACAAATTGAAAACAACATTTAAATTGTATTACTCCAATATCGAAATAATGAATTCAATTTTGGAAATTATACCAGGTAAATTAAAAAATCTTAAATTTTAAATACAAAATAAATTTATTATTTTTTATTTAGATATTTTTGTTTATATACAACTCTATGAAGACTCTCTGGACGATATGCTGTTGGCCATGTATTCCCTATTCAAAATCGCCTTTAGAAAATCATACTCCACAAAAATGACTGCCAAAATCATCACCAGTATTTGTTACATTGCTCGTGATTGTCGTAATATCTATGTTCAGGATAATTTTCGAAATCTCTGTTTTTCCATTGTAAATTTTCTACCATTTCCATCGTTGGATATACAATATGCTGCGATTAATACCATCACTGCCTTAATGGATATTAACTGGTTGAAAAATACAAAATGTGATATAGATTTATATTATGATTTCTGTGATAATATCTATGAGTTGATTAAATGGAAGAAGTTACAAGTGGCACCAACACAAGCGGAAAGTGCCGATCAGTTGCAAAATGCCAAGTCATTAAATGTCCAATTGTTGGTGGGCATTTTGGCATTTAGTTGTTATCATCGTAGCAATGCTTTGCAAGAGTTGTCACATGTCTGTGCATTTTACAAATTTACAGAAGGTAAGTATGTATTTATTTAAAAAAAAAACAACAAAGTTTTTCATTTTTGAATTTCAGCTGATTTCATAGAGTATCATCGCATTGCTTCGTTCTACAAAACATCGACCACTGAGCTACTAAAAACAAACATTCCGAGTGCCATACATACATGGATATCAAAATCATTTCCTATATTAAAGTAATTTTGAAATTTTAGTATTGGAATTCTGTAAAATTTTTGACCTAACACAATCTAAATGTTTTTCACAAACGTTCTTTAACAAGTTTTGAAAAATCGTTGTTATACCCTCCACCATAGTATGGTTTGTCATTCCGTTTGTAACACCTCGAAACATACATTTTGAACCCCACAAAGTATATATTCTTGATCAGCATAAAATTCTATGGCGATTTAGCGATGTCCGTCCGTCTGTGGAAATCACTAGCTTCCGAACGAAATGAAGTAGGTTCATAAAATTGTACTCAAATGTATATTATGTCTGCAATACTTTTGGCATTGAAAATGGGTCATGTAGGTTCACGTTTTGGTATATCCCCCGTACAACGGTACCTCCCGAAATTCGGTATTTTGATGATTTTAGCGACATTTTTCGTCGGAATTGTTTCAAATTTCGTATTTGAAGTTCGTAATGGATACTACAGCCTATGACAGAAAATTGTCTTTGCAGGTCCACGTCTTCTTATAGCCTCCATAAAGTGCTACCTCCCGATATTCGGTATTTTGATGATTTTAGCGACATTATTTACCGGAATTGTTTCAAATTTCGCATTTGAAGTTCGTAATGGATACTACAGTCTAAAACAGAAAATTGTCTTTGCAGGTCCACGTCTTCTTAAAGCTCCCATAAAACGGCACATCCGCATATTCGGTATTTTGATAATTTTAGCGATATTCGCCGGAATTGTTTCAAATTTTGTATTTGAAGTTTGTAATGGATACTACAGCCTATGACTGAAAATTGTATGTGCAGGTCCACGTTTTGGTATAGCCCCCATATAATGGTACCTCTCTATGCAGGTCCACGTCGTCGTATACATACGGCTACATTCGTTTTTTTTTTTTAGATTTTTTTTCAAATGGTGGAGGGTATTCCAAGTTCGGCCCGCCCGAATTTACAGCATTTTTAATTGTTCTAATATACAGAATTCCCCTACAAATGTTACCAAGCTTTAATAATCATAAATCTCTATGTTTTTGTAGATTTCCTTTTTATCTCTGCTATAAAACCAAAAACGATTTTCTCAGTGATAATATTGATTTAATTACCACCTGTCTTTTGCTCTACAACAAGTCGGATGAAATCAAGAATTTGGAACAATTTGGAGACATGCTGGAGCTATTAAAGGTTTTCCTTAACCGATATATAACTAAAATCATAAAAATTTAAATGAATATTTTCCATTTCAGATGGCTACGCCAATTATAAACTTCTTCATCTTGGTTGCTCAATGTCCTGCCAATGAAAACAATGAGCTTAAGAAATATGTACAAAATATGTTGAAATTAAAACTAGATTTTAGTAAAACAAAAAGTGATAACAATACCTGGAAAGTAGTGTATGCCTTGTTCGATGCTTTGCATGATGATGGCGATTCAAAGCTATTGGCAGGGTTTCCAATGTTTTTGCAAACACCAAAATGGTACAACATCAACAACAAATGTCTCAGATCGGCTTTAAATGTTTACATTGTAAGAAAATTGAAAAAAAAAAAAAATCACACAACATTTTTTATATCATCAATATTAATTTCCCTACAGAATAGCAACCCAGGAGAGGTTAAACCCGAACTTCTTTTGAATTACATAAGCAAACACTCTCTGCGTTTGGTGAAAACATTTGGTGCCCTCAAAAGGAATTGCAGCCAATGCATTTATCCCATGGATTCTTTGAAACAATTTTATAAATTTTACAAACTATCCGATATGGTTTTGGACACTCTTGCTGTACGATCGGCAGCGCTGCCTCAACATTTATGTTTTTATTTTCTACATGACATTATCTATTATTGTCTGCATTGTATTGAAACAGCAGCGGATACAACACAGAGTCTTAGAAAAGTGGCCTTAACCGGTTTGGAAAAACTAACCACAAAAATAATCGATATTGAAGATATCAATTCGTTTATGCAGAAGCATTTAAGTTTTATTTGCAAGTCTCTGGTCTACACTCACAAACGCAGCAATAGCATTGATGAGCAAACCAAAATTACATCCATATGTGAACATTTGATAAGCAACTATAAAAAGGCAATATCGGATAAACATTATATGCTGAATATATTTGCAAACAATGAGAACTTCAACAATGTTAATAAATTATTGGAGACCTTAAGTGAAAATATATCAGATGATGACAATGCCGATTGTTGGAAAAAATATTTGGATATATTTATGGAGAATACCAATTATACGCTGGATTCATTTAAATTTTTACAACAACATGTGAGTACATGATACGAAACTTTTTCAGAAGAATTTATTTACAAATACTTGACAATAACTTTGTTTGTGAGAGAAAATCGAAATTGTATACATTTCCTATTTTGAGGAGCATAGCCCAGTAGCTACCCAAGTATAGCTGTGAATTGGATAAGCAGTTATGTGCAGTCAGCGGGTCTGGGGGCGAGAGTCTCGGCTTAAATACTCGAGTGCCATTGATCCTTAGACTGACGAGGCAATCTTTCGCGACCCCTAAATCAAACCTCTGTGCTGATCTTCACATAAAGAGGACTCCCTTATCGCTGGAGCTTCGGGAGCTTCGTTAATACCCGGGCGCCTCAACGGATATCGGGTTCAGTTACCGAGTCCTAGCCATGGTACGGAGACTAATTCAGGCCAACTCAGTCCCTTGATTAAGTAGAAGTGTAGCTGGGTTTCTCGACACAAAAAATACATATTGGCGAGCAGTAAATTACTATAGTCGATATGTCGAGGGCGATCCATCAAAGCTCAACTGTAAGGAGTTGCAGTTTATCAGAACGAAAGGACATATCCTAACACAGCAATAAGGGAATTACCGATAAGCAGGATCCCTACATGCAGGACAAGGATGAAGCCAGTCGAAGCCTCAAAAAAAAAAAAAAAAAAAAAAAAAAAAAAAACTGACGACTGCGAGAAGCCATGGCTCATCTTCGAATGTGGTATCAAAGGGACTAAGGTGCCAACATCGGATGTACCACCCAAAAAAACAAGGGAAGGCAAGACTGAGGATATCCCAAACATTGGCTTTGGTGTGGATTCCACTTCCTATAATGTGGTTGAAGGAGATCCTGAAGCTATAGAGAAGCAGAATGCTGGTCGTAGTACCAAGAACACCGGGATGCTTTTTAAAGTATGAGATAGAAAACCAGTAAAGAAAAGTCAAAAATCGGGTGGAGTAGACTATATGGTACCCTACAACCCTATGCATATTAAGGCTCCCGTAAGAAAAAAATTAATTTGACTTTAGAGTAGTTATAGTTTCGTTTCAAAGATAACTAATAAATGGGAGGCATATGCAATTCTGAATCGATTTTCACTTATATTGACAGGGACATTTTAATCTTTTATACCAAATAACATTGCTATAGAGTGCATGATGGCACTCCGAGAAGGATTATATTAAAAAAATATATATCGGGGCCGAGTTCCGCAAAATGAAAACGTACCCGCTGAATTTGGGCTGATAATCGGATTAAGGACATATGAGAGGTATATCCAAGTCTTAGCTTTTCTCGATAAAATTTGCCAAAGTTATTTCCGAGCTCTATACGATATCTGGTACCAAATATAATTGTTGTCGAATGTATATAACGAATGTGAGGGACTTAAACACCAAACCAGATGAAACATATATATGGAAGCTGTAGCTATATCTGAACAGAGTTTCATCAAATTTGACGTATTTGTTTCTAGACTCAAGTCGGTCGGATGTGCAAAAATGCATGTCCTTTGACTGATATTGGCCATTTGGTGCCATTTCTGTTGAAATATATTGGAGTTATATCCCAAGGCTTTAATACACCTTCTAGAATATTTTGGCGATAACATTCGGCATTTATTCTGATGCCACGGTCGACACCATCACCATGGCCGGAGCTTGAGAAAACCAAATTCAGCAGTTCACCACTTTCGGCCAAGCAAAGCAACACTTTAGCCATTTTGAGTCTATTTTCTTTCTTTTGCGGTGTAAGTTCTTGCACTTTTTGGAATTCCAATGGCTTTATCCCGACCTCATTTTTCAATATTTGCCGAATGGAATATTGCGATATGTTCAGCTCGCGAGCCATTTTTCAGCCACTGCGACACAGGTTTCGATCAATTCGCTTTTTTTACTTTTCGAACCATTTCTGCTGATGTTGCTGTTTTCTTCCATCCACTTCCTTGACGTCGGGCTACGCTACCAGTATCACAGTAGCGAGCGATGTTACGAGACACAAAAGATTTATTCACATTAAAAAGCTGGAGTGCTCTAACTATAGCCACTTGTGATTTTCCAGCCAAATATAAAGAAATCACAGTATTACGCTTGAATTCCATTACGAATAACTTTTTTTCTGGAAAATTCTCAACAAAATGCTTTTGTACGCTTGTAAACAATATAATGAGCTGCGACTGGATTAATTTTAACAGATGTCGGACGAGTGGCTTAGAAATGACAGCAGTCTAAAGTTGGTTGCAGATTTTTATCTCACCCTGTACTTGAATACACTGCAATAATGGTCAAACGTGAGCAGTTTTGTGATAGGCAAGGGCGTGAAGGCTTTTGCCGGCCTTCCGTAATTTCGACGCTACAGGACAGATCGTACTCTTCGTATTCAATCGTGTATGATTATGAATTTCTTCGATGTGTCCGGACATAGTTTGCAAATACTATTTGAATAAATTCTGTTCAGGTCATTCCATCCTGCCTTTCCGTCGCCGTTTCCCAGACTTATAATTTTTTAAACCTACACATTATCCTCGTACATATGTCGAACCATATTAAACAATAAATTGTAATTAAATTCTTAGATTGCAGCCAACAAACACATTGTCCAAGCTGACAAAAATGTATTGTATCGATTAATTCGTCATCTGCTGCAATTTTTACGCCAAAGTGAAGATGAAGCTTTAAATTTGGAAGTCTTGAAATGTTTGGGGGAGATTGGACCATTAAATCTTTATCAAATGTCTTACTATTTTGAAGTGGAAAATTCAATAGATGAGGTTTGTAATCATTGTGGTTGTGATAAACACTTGTTATATATTAAACCAATTTTAATCTTTTCACAGGATACTAACAGTGCCAAACAAATCGAAAATTTTTATAATAACATATACTTAATTCTGGAACATCTATTGAACAAGTTTAATCCAAATACACATTTATATGTCATTGATGTGGCGCAATATCTGGTGAATTCAAAATATGGACAAGATTTAATGGGTAATCAGTGTATATTGAATTAATATTTAACTATTTTAGACCGCATGTTTAACCTTAAATAATACTATATGATTATGGATAAAAATGTTTTTTTTTTCACTGGGAATATACTATGGTGTCCCATGCAAAGGATAACCAATGGAAATGTGACTTTAAAATCGTTGAAAATATGACTATTATATCCAGAAAAACTACTATATCAGCTGTAAAGAAATACAAATCATTTACACTTTTTTAATTTTAGAAAAATTCCCAACGTTTATGGTATTTCGAGCAAATGTTACCCAAAATTATATGGATCTTTATGAGAGTATAACACCTGCAAATTGGTGTGACACCCTTAAGTCATGCGAACACATGGATTATGACAATTTTATACGGCAATTTGTTGCAAAAATCTATGACCATTGTTGTTGGCTACAATTTCGTGATTTATCAAAAAATGATCTGTATTTTGCTGAACATTCCATAACACCCTTTATTAAGCTACTTTTACATTGTGAAGAGGGAGAGAATCACAAGACTGGCATTATGACCATGTTGGAGTATTTCTTCGAAACATTTCAGCAGCAGCACAAAACCGATTTCGTTGGCTGCGAAAACAAAATGATTTACAAAGAGAAACGTATTGTGAATTTGATACTAAATATATGTGAATGTATTCGCATCAATAATTCGTGGTGAGTAAATACATGCACGTAAAAATAAGTAAAAAACCATTAAGTTCGGCCGGGCGACGGTAACCTTTATAGACAATTTTATACTTCAAGGATTGTCAACTACCAAATCTTCTTAAATACCAAATTGGAAACAATTTAGTGGGTAAATGTGACTAGGATTATCAAAAAACCGAATGTCGGTGGGTATCGTTATTTGTGCGCTATAGGAAAACGTGGATCTTAAAATTCAATGTTCTGCAACGGGAGCTGGAGCCCATTTTTAGACAAATCCGTGAAAAAAAATGTGGCCAAAATCATTAAAATACTAAATATTTGGATGTACTATTATGTGGGGTCTATACGAAAGCGTGTACCTATATATACTATGTTTCGGCACCGGAGCTAGAACCCATTGCGAACTGCAAATACCAAGTTTTGGACAAATCCGTGAAAAATTGTGGCAAAAATGATTAAAACACCGAATATTGGGAGGTACCATTATATGGCGACTATATAAAAACATGAAGCGATATATCTCATTTTCAATACCAAACATCCTGGAGATAGATTTTGAAGCTCTACGTCAAATAATTTGGGCTATATCGTGATTTCAACAGATAGAGAGACAGACAGACGGACATCGTTAAATCGACTTAGAATTTTATGCTGATTATGAATATATATACTTTATGGGGTCTACGACGAATATTTAAGGATGTTACAAACGGAATGGCAAAGTTAATATACCCTTTCAGGTGGAGGGTATAAAAATGTAGTTATTCTGACATTCCAGAGCTCCTTTTAATAACTCACATTTATTCGTTTATTCTACCTTCAGCGATTTATAGGTCATCCATGAACATCTTGACTAAGAAATCTAATTTATGTTGTTCGTTCTTGACTTTAGGTTGTGGATATGTACTCAAACGGATCTCCTGTGTGAAAAACTAATATTTGCACAAATTTTCGGAGGAATGAATGCATTTATAGTGATTTCTCCAAGGGGAAGTATATTTGAAAATACCGAGTAAAAATAGAAGTGAAATGTTAATGCAATTGTGAAGAATCCGTGAATTAATTGTACCCTCAGCCATAGGGCTAAAGAGGGTATATTTCATTTGATACGGCCAAAACGTGTCTTATCGAAATAATGTCTTTAGACCCTAGGTCTCTTTGGACCAAATCCGTTTCAGAACATTTGGAGTCGATCTATCATTGTCTGTCCGTCCGTCTGTCTGTCTGCCAGGCTAGCTGGTGCGTCCGATTTGTTTCGAACTTGTTACATCGTAATATTATTGTCAAACTTAGATCGAGTTCGGAGATGAGCAATATCGATCCACTCCTTCTGGTACCTCCCCCACAAAAGGTTGAAATTTTCAAAGAAAATATGTTATTGCAGAGAGAGAGAAAGGATAATTCGATTTTGCATCAGTTCTAGGTCAGGTGCGAAAATAGACAATATCGGCCACTCAATCAAGCACCTCCCCCACAGAGATTTCGAATGATTACAACTTTTATAAAACGTGATGTAAGTGTGAGATGGTCTTCAAATTAAACACATTACAATATTTTTATTAACCCAAGATGTGGGGCGAAGATGGAATATATCGGTACACTCTTTCTGGTACCTCCCCCACAAAAGGTCATATTTTTGAATATTTATAAGGTTCATAAGACGTAAAATTAACGACCGATTCCATTCAGGCTTGGCACATCTCAATATTTCTATCAACACAAGATCTGTTATAAAGATGGTATAGATCGATCCATTTCTTCTAGTATCTCCCCACAAAGGGTCAAAATTTCGAATGACCAAAACGATTATTAAATTCGAAATAATCATCCGGTTCTCTTCATATTTCACACATCCCATTATTTCTACTAACACAAGATCTGCAGTGAAGATGGGATATATCGGTCCACTCCTTCTGGTACATCCCACATCATACATAAGATTTAGAGCTCCTTAACGATTGTTTTTGGTAGCTTCTTTGAGGATAATTGATTTTCAGAGGATCATATACCAAGTTCTTTTGAAATTGTTACCGTTTGTTGTGATAGCTGGACACGAAGCATGAATAGTATATTATACAAAAAAGTTTTCTCAATTGTTCATTCATTTCTAAAAACTTTTTTATTTTTTTATTTATTTTTTATTCCCCAGGGATTTACCTTTAAATCTTTTGAATGTTGTGGAGGCTTGTAATTACTGTCAAGCTTACTTCTTGTCCATAATCTATTTGGAAATGTGGGCATTGGGTCAAATTTCCTTGGGTGATAAGACAAATGTTGAGATACTTTCCAATGAGTCGTTTCAAAGACTTGCCCGAAAGGTAAGTATTCTTAAAGTGTATTCATATGTGATGATTACCTAATTACTCGTTTTCTAGGCCTATGATGCGATTGGTTGCAATGATGCAATTTCTGGATTTATTAATCCCTTAACTTCACGCATGGATTATTTGAATTTAACAAATAATTGGCCAGATATATTGATCGAGACAACGGATACATCAGATATGTGTAATGAGGTGCTCAAACGAAATGGTATGCTTAATCTTGCCTGTTCCTCGGCGGATAATCGAAAACAAAATGTCGATTATGAAATCTGTTGGCGTTTGTGTCGTTGGGATACTGTCGTTGAAGGCCATTCTAAAGTCAATACCCTGAATGATATGGAATATGAATTTGAAAAACATCATTTCAATGCCTTAAAGTGTCTCAACAATAAGGAGGAGAATAACACCTTGGCTGCCATTGAGAAATCGCGTCATTGTGTTTTGAATATCCTCAAGGAGATTAGTGTGGAATGTTTGCAAAGTGTTTACAAGTATTTGACTTGGCTACAATTGTTGCAACAATGCGAAGATTTTTGTTTGGTGAGACCAACTTTTTGTTTGGGGTTTTTCAATGTTATTATTAAAATGTTTGTATTTTAGATTCAATTTTCCAAATCAACGGATGTTGATCATATATTCAAAAAATGGCAATTGGAAACAAATGATTTGGAATATGGTCTATTTTCCAGCAAGGAATTGATATTGTCTCATCAGATATCTCTATTTCAAACGGCTGGCATCAGGGCGAGTAGAAAGATTAAAGAATTTTATAAGGTGGGTAATAAGCTTTGAGAAAAATCTCCTCTTCATATTATTTGAATTTCTTTAAATAACTTAGGATGACCCCGTCGAGAAGTGCCTGCTAAAATGCATAAGAGATTGTAAAGCAGCTGGAGAAATAAATCTTGCCAAACGTTATGTGGCCATACTCAATAACATGTGTAGCAACAGTAGTGCTTCGTTGAAGGTAAGTTGTTGAGGAAAGTTGATGCTATAGTCAGCTATAATATATCAAGACAATTATAGATTAGCGCCTTACTCGAAGACGTGGATATATGCATGAAAACGGGTAAATCGGATATGGTTAAATCCATTTTGCATCACATATTCAAAAATCGTGAATTCCAATATTGCCTGCAACGTGTAAAAGCAATGCAACTAAATGGCCAGTATTTGATGGACACCAATGCCGAGACTTTTGAAAATGTTTTGAGAAAGTACTTTATGGGCTCGCTGGATGTTTTGGGAAAATATAGTCAGTCTAAGGATGTGATTTTACAAAAGTTTCCCAATTTATTTACCTTAGAAGAATTTGAAGTGTGCCAGGCGGAAAGTAAAAAAAGTGCCTACGAAATCATTGCCAAATATGCGGATAGGGAATATGTACAGGTAAGGTTCCTTTGAGGTATGTAACAATTCCCAAATAATGGATCTTCTTACATTTTGCAGTTAAACAATTATGCCAATTCCGATCAATTTGCAATTAAACGCCAAACAATGAAACTAAACCGGGAAGCAGTTTCCACCATTAACCCCCGTTCGATGGATCACGATAAACGTGTTGCGGCAAGTTTCATGAAGAAAACTTCCCACATGGACGAACAGGAAATTGCTCAAATTGAGAATAAAGTCACCTCAAATTTGTGCACAGCTGTGGAAAATTATATGAAATTTTCCTGTTTGGACAATGCCATATCAAGTCCGGTTATTTATCGCATTATCGGTTTGTGGTTTGCCAATAAACAAAATGACACGCTACGTGCCACAATACAAGAACACATCGATGCTGTACCCAGTTATAAATTTATATGTGCCCTCAATCAGATGACAGCTCGTTTGAATTCCAAACATGATGAATTCATCAAAATTCTTAAGAATATTATGATTCGTTGTGTCCAGGAGCATCCACATCATACCCTATATCAATTGTATCCCATTGTGTACGGGTACATGGATGGCACACAAAACAAAGCCGATTATCGTTCGAAACTTGCTCAGGAGATTATTGCCAAAGCCAAGTCGAAAATAAACGCGAATACGATTAAGCAATTGGAGAGCGTCATACCGGGTAGGTTTTACATATAATTGGAAAGTGAGGCATATAATGAAAAATATATGTCATATATTTTACAGCCCTAATTGAATTTGCCAATACCGAAATAAAGGACAACAAAGAGCCATCAATTTCTCTAAGTGAGAAACTAAGGCGAATGAAAAGTCTCGATGCCATACATTGTCCAACAATTGATTTGCCTGTCAGAATCGATAGGAATTATACAATCAAAGGTAAGAGAACTTGCAGAAAAATAAATTTTAATTATTTGTCACTTTAAAAATATTGGCCTGTGAAATTCCTTCAATTTTTGGCGACTGTATAGACTCACGACTTTCTCTCACATCGCACACAGATTTATCTTTTAACTTTAAAAGACAGATAATATTTTTTTAATATCGATCGTGTATAAAAGGATTGTAGTGAAAATTAGTTAATCTACTCGTCATGGAATTATCTTCTGGGGAAAACTATTATAAGGATCTGAATCCTGACTATGTTTTTACTACTTCTCTCTAAAGGAAACACAGAACCCACATCATTGGGAAATTCCAAGATAGTCGATTTATAAGAAAAGGATCTTGCTGATACTTACCCAATTAAATAAATATCGTAAAAGATTTTTTTCCATGCAGGCATTGAATTAGATCTCTTCCTTCACAGATGTCATCAACAATTACAGTATGACTGCCTGGGGGTCCCCTATCCATCGAATATATTCATTTTTATACCCTCAACCATATGGCCTCGTCAAAATAATAGTTTTAGACCCCAGTTCTCATTGGACCAAATCCGTTCCAGGACATGGAGTCGATGTAGCGATATCCGATTTGGCCCAAACTTGGTACATCGTAATATTATTGTCAAATTTAGATCGAGTTCGGAGATGAGCAATATCGGTCCACAACTTTTGGTACCTCTCTCACAAAAGGTCGAAATTTAAAAAAAAAAATTACAGCACATGAAGAGAAGGGATGATCCGATTTTGCTACATCTGTGTAAATCCTAATATTTGCATCATTGCTATGTGCGAAAATGGACAACACTCCTTCTGGTACCTCCCCCACAAAAAGGGTCAACATTTTGAATAATCATAACTCTTATAAAATATGATATAAGTGTTCGATTGTATTCAAATTACACACATCATAATATTTTTATTGGCCTAAGGTCTGAAGTGAGGATGGAATATATCGGTCAACTCCTTCTAGTACTTCACCCACAAAAGGTCGAAATTTAAATATATAGTTTGTGCACAGAAAGAGAAACGATAATCCCATTTTGCTCCAACTTTGCAAATCCCAATATTTGTGTCAGTGCTAGGTCAGGTGCGAAAATGGACAATATCGGTCGTCTCCATCAAACACCTCCTCCATATAGGGTCAACATTTTGAATAATTATAACTCTTATAAAATGTGATGTAAAAGTCCGATTGTCTTCAAATTACACACATCATAATATTTTTAATTAACCCAAGGTCTGGGGGGGAGATCGGTACACTCCTTTTTGTACCTCATCCACAAAAGGTCGAAATTTTGAATATCCATAAAGCTCATAAAACATGAAATTAACATTCAATTCCATTCAGCCTTGGCACATTTCAATATTTCCATCAACACAAGATCTGTTATAAAGATGGTAGAGATCGGACAATTCCTTCTGGTACCTCTACCACAAAGGGTCAACGTTTTGAATAACTAAAACGATCATAAAATCCGAAATAAGCATCCTGTTCTCTTCATATTTCACACATCCCATAATTTCTACTAACACAAGATCTGGGGTGAACATGGGATATATCGGTACCCTCCTCCACAAAGGGTCAAAATTTTGAATATCCATGGAGCTCATAAAACGCGAAATTAAAATCCGATTCCATTCAGACTTGGTAATCTCAATATTTCCATCAACACAGGATTTGTTATAAAAACGGTAGAGATCGGACCATTTCTTCTGGTACTTGCCCCACAAAGGTTCAAAATATTGAATAACCAAAACGATTATAAAATCCGAAATAAGCATCCGGTTCTCATCAAATTTCACACATCCCATATTTCTACCAACACAAGATCTGCTGTGAAGATGGGATATATCGGTCCACTCCTTCTGGTACCTCCCCCACAAAGGAAATTAACATCCGAATTTATTCAGACTTGGTACATCTCAATATTTCCATCAACTCAAGGTCTGTCCCACATAGAGTTCAGTGTAACAGAACATCCCCGTCAGAATAAGAGTTTCAACTACTTTTTTCTGGTCATCCACGATCAAAAACCAATACCGTACTATATACAGCAAGCCTGTCTAGGTATTTCATAAACAATCTGTCAAAATCAATTTATATAAAAAAATGCTTTTTATATGCGATTCAAGGTGTATCGTCGTACTTTTTGTAGCTAAATGTTGAAAAGTTGAAACACCAACAACAATAATCATTATTGCATTTGGAATTTTTTTAACCGTATATATTATCAATACGATATCATATTTCCAGGCATTGTCAAATGGGAATCTCAAGTTGGTTTGGTTGGCGGTATAAATGCTCCCAAAAAGTTGTCTTGTCTCTGTTCCGATGGTATTAAACGACCACAATTGTTGAAGGGCAAGGATGATTTGCGCCAAGACGCTGTGATGCAACAAGTATTTTGTATGATTAATAATCTGCTGCAACAAGAACCAAAAGCTGTACAGCGTAAGCTTCTAATTCGCACCTACAAAGTGATACCGCTCTCAACGCGCAGCGGTTTATTGGAATGGTGTCAAAACACCGTACCAATTGGTATGTATTTGACGCAAGCTCATCAAAAATATCGTCCAAAGGATTACACTGTTATGAATTGTCGAAAATTAGCTCATGTAAGTTCTCCCCGATCACAATGGTGTATGTTAAATACAAATATATTATTTTTCCCCAGGCACATTTAAAATCGAATCCTGAAAAACGTCACGAAACCTACATTAATATTACGAAGCATATCCAACCGGTGTTTCATTATTTTTTCTATGAGAAATTTTTGAAACCCGGAATATGGTTCGAACGTCGTCTGGCTTATATAAATAGGTGAGACAAAGTTTTTATTCTTTAGAATTAGAAATAATTGTTGTCATTTTATATATTTTGTAAAATATGTAGTGTGGCCACAACATCTATGGTTGGTTACATCTTGGGCCTGGGTGATCGTCACACACAAAATATATTAATCGATCAAAATTCGGCCGAAGTTATACACATTGACTTTGGTAAGGATAAACAGGATAGGATTTTGTTTCCAATTTTAATCATTCCACTTTTCATTTATTACAGGCATTGCCTTTGAGCAGGGTAAGATTATGCCCACTCCGGAGACTGTACCCTTTCGTTTAACCAGAGATATGTTGGCGCCCATGGGTATTTGTGGTCCCAATGGTGTTTTCAAAAAATCCTGCGAAACCACAATGGAGATTTTGCGGAGACATCAAGATGTTATAACTACAATATTGGAAGTTTTGCTCTATGATCCCTTGTATATATGGAATGTTGTGCCACAGATCAATGATAATGACAACAACAATACAAGTAAATATTTTAAAGTAATAGTTGTAATTTTTGTAACCTCTCTTTGATTTTAGCTGAAGAGAAAAATCACATAGCTCAACGTGCCTTAATTGTTGTCCAAAACAAATTGGAAGGCAAACAAAATGGTATATTTGGAACATCCAGTGTACCGGTACAGGTTGAACGTTTAATTAACGATGCCATTAATACTCGTAATCTTTGTATGTTGTTTTCGGGCTGGGACCCGTATTTGTAAAGAATTTTGTTTTTTATATTTTTAATTGTTTTTATATTATATGTTTTATGTAACTACTATGTGTGTGTGAAAATATATACTATTTAATCTGCAAAAAGTGTGAGACAGCTTTTACATATTTTTACCCTACATCACATAGTGGTAAGGGTATTATGTCTTTGTGCATTTGTTTGTAACATGGAGAAGGAAGCAAGATAGACCCATAGCTACTTTTGACCCAACAAACCCGAGTAGTTTTGACCCAGAAAAGATCCGGATGGTGCAGCCGCCTCAATTCCTATTGGGCCCCGATTGACAACGATGTGCAGAACATCTGCCCAGCTTGGCTCCGATATATGTTTTTTGATATAATCCATATGGAAGTGATATCATGCCAAAAAGTGAGATGAAAAACCTGCAACCAACTTCAGACTGCTGTCATTTCTAAGCCACTAGTCCGAAAGTTGTTAAAATTATTGCATCGACAGCTCATTATATTGTTAACAAGCGTACAAAAGCATTTTGGTGAGAACTTTCCAGAAAAAAAGTTATTCGTAATGGAATTCAAGCGTGATAGTGTGATTTCTTTATATTTGGCTGGAAAACCACAAGTGGCTATGGTTAGAGCACTCCAGCATTTAAATGTGAATAAATCTTTTGTGTCTCGTACCATCGTTCGTTACCGTGATACTCGTAGCGTAGCCCGACGTCAAGGAAGTAGACGGAAGAAAACAGCAATGGTTCGAAAAGTAAAAAAAGCGACTTGATAGAAAACCGCATCGCAGTGGCCGAAAAATGGCTCGTGAGCTGAACATATCGTAATATTTCATTCGGCAAATATTGAAAAATAAGCTCGAGATAAAGCCATTAAAATTCCAAAAAGTACAAGAACTTACACCGCAACAGAAAGAAAATAGACCCAAAAGAGCTAAGGAGTTGCTTCGCTTGGCCGAAAGTGGTGAACTGACGAATTTGGTTTTCTCCGTCTCCGATGAGAAAACATTTATTGTCCAGCAGTTTGTAAACAAACAAAATGATCGTATTTACTTGCCAAAGAGCTCACCTGAAAATGTACACCTTCGGTTGGCCACCAGAACTCAAGCGCTGGTCATGGTGATGGTGTGGACCGACATGACAGCCGATGGTCGCTCTCCGCTCGTATTAATCGACCGTGGCATCAGAATAAATGCCGAATATTATAGCGAAAATATTCTGGAGGGTGGATTAAAGCCTTGGACACGCAAACATTTCGGCCGCAGACTTTGGACATTCCAACAGGGCTCGGCACCACCGCACTCAGCATGCGCGCCACTCAAGAATGGTTACAAAATGAGCTGCCTCGCTTTATTTCCAGCGCACAATGGTCACCAAAATCTCCGGATACCAATCCGTTGGGCTATTGTGTCTGAAGTATTTTTAAAAGCAAGGTTGGCACTAAAAAATATTAAAATGTCAGTCACTTCAAGCAAGCGCTTAGCCGGGAATGGACCAAAATATCGCAGTGCAACATTCGGGCAGCATGTTATGGTTTCATTGGCCATAATTCGTGCCAAAGGTGATCAATTCGAACAAATCTTAACTTATTCTAAAATTTGATGCTATTTCCGATATGTAAAAATTATGGCGTTTGACTTTGTTGCAGTTTTTTATCTCACCCTCTATAGTAATGTTAGTTGGTATAAAAGATTAAAATGTATCCGTCAAATATAATGAAAATCGAATCAGAATCGGATATGCCTCCCATATATTAGTTCCCTCTGAAACCAAACTATAACTGCCTAAAGCTAAGTGTTGATGGGTGGTATGATCTACTTAAAATCAAAATTCTTTTGTTATGGGAGCTCTACTAAATATGCACAGTGGTGTAGGGTATCAAAAAGTCGGCCCCGTTTGACTTTTGAGTTTTCCTTGCTGGTTTTAATGTGATTTACCTTTCTATATTTGCCGTGTTCCAAAGACGACAACATCTAGTTTTGCCAATTATGTTCGATATCATAAAGAAACAAATCGGCAATCGTAATAAAGATGTTTACACTCTTGCAGTTCTGAATTAAATCAATTATAATTGAGCTCAGAACTATTGGAAGTCATGTGAGTTTTTAATTTTTATCCATCCAAACTTTCCTTATTATTTCGGTTTAGAAAGTAATCTATTAAAAAAAAACTTCTTATTTATTGCTAACCATTACGACTTTATTACTTAAATTTCTATACAGCTCTCATTACTTAAATACTACAGATATCGATATTGCTAATTACACAAACATATATTAAGTACTTTGGCATTTTCTCTCATTCTTTTTTTTTTGTGTGGAATAAATGCTCAGCGCAACAGAACATCACTTCGATGGAACAACAAATTTGGGAGTGGTGGGAAATGCAGTTATCCCTCTACTACTATGTGCTGCTGAAGAAAGTATTTTTAACTTTCCGCCAAAATAGTGAAGAACTATTGTCGGACTTTAATTTCGCGTTACGTTTTTCCTGGGCCTCCGTTTTGAACATCAGCCATTGTTTGCGAACATCTGGATTGCTGGGACCCCATTCATCACTAGGTGAACATGCTTTTTGCAGAGCCTGTTAGGGAAAATAAGAAATGTAAAACGTATTAGCAATAAAAAGAAAACACAAAAAACTGCTTTTCAGAGATAAAATGAAAATGAATAAAAAAATTAAATTGCATCATCGTGGCAGCTATAGAAACTGCTAAATTCGACTGAAGAAATGTCGATCAATTCGGCTTAACTCTAGTTTAGTAAAAACTCTTCGATTTTTTTCCAGAGGTAGGTATTTTTACCCTGATTACGGGAAACTTTTTTTTTTTTCTTGTTGGGAAGGACCCCTGATTTTTGACCTGAAAGTCCGGGTTCACTTACCCGATAAAAACAATAAAGGTATCGTTTGAAAGCTAATACATATTTAACAAGTGGTCACACGACTGGGTTATTTCACATTCATCTCATCAAATTATCGATTTTTGGACGCGGATTTTTTATAAAACCGCCAAAAAGGACCCATTGTGGGGGACAACAAAATTGATGCCAAATTATAGCCGACACTCTTACCTTTCCATAATGTTACAATTTGTGCTAATACCTCTTCTGGGTCCAGAGCTATTCTCTTTTGGGTTCAACCGGCTACACGAACTAATGTTTTTATCACCTCCACCATGGTATGGAGGGTATATTAAGTTGGTCACTCCGTTTGTAACACCTCGAAATATACATTTTTGACCCCACAAAGTATATAGTGTGGAAATTACTTTAGCTTCCGAACGAATTGATGTAGATTGATAAAATTTTACTCAAATGTATATTATGTCTGCAGGACTTTTGGTATTGAAAATGGTTCATGTAGGTCCACGTTTTGGTGTAGTTCCCATGTAGCGGTACCTCCCGATATTCGGTATTTTGATCATTTTTGCCGCAATATTCATCGGAATTGTTTCAAATTTGGTATTTGAAGTTTGAAATGAATACTACATCCTATGACAGTAGTAGTTTGTCGGTGCAGGTCCACGTCTTCGTATAGCCCCCATATAACGGTACCTCCCGATATTCGGTATTTTGATTAATTTAGCTCCATTATTCACTATTTTTTTTTAAGTTTCGCATTTGAATATTGTTAAAGCTTATGACAAAAGTTACCTATGCAGGTCCATGTCGTCGTATAGACCCTAATGTAACAGCTACATTCGGTATTTATTAACAGAATTTTTAACGGATTTTATTGTTTTTGAGAATTGCCAAATTCGTTCCAAATGGTGGAGGGTATTCAAAGTTCGGCCCGGCCAAACTTAAAGCTTTTTTACTTGTTATACCCTACAACACTATGTGTTGGGGTATTATAAGTTTGATTGGGCCAAAAATTATGTAACACCTCGAAATATTGGTTTCCCACATAGGAAAGTATATATGGATCTTCCTATCTCGCCGAGCTGAGTCGATCTAGCTATGTATGTCCGTCCGTCCGTCTGTCCGTCTGTCCATGTTGCAATTATGGCCTGATCTTCACGAAATTTAGAATGAAGACGAAATTTAGACCAATCGACGCCGAATTTAGCATGTGGCTAGAGCTTAGGGCTAGGCAGAAGTCTTCCGATTTTGGTGATCATCGGGTAATATTTAATGGGTGAAATAGACCACAACATTTGTGTTAAATAAACGTCAAATTTTTCATTAAATCGCGAATATTTTTAATCCCGGCGAAATCATAAATAGACGAACAGGTCAACTCTGACCGTTACGTAGATGAATATAGTAAATATATCGGATGTATATAGCGAAATATATACCACGTATATATAGAAAGGAAGGGGATGTTAGCTAGAATGCTTATATCTCAAGAATGGCTAGACCGATTTCGACAAATTTTGTCAATACAGTATGCCCTCTTAACTAAAAAATCTCATAAAAAGTTGTCTATAATGATGATGTATATAGATTTTGTAGTATTTTGTGACATTTTTTTATTTTTTCATATTTTTATCGCATACGATTTTTTCAATTTGACTTATAATATTGAATTGTACATTTTGTAATATTTTTTCACCTTACAACACTGGTTGGGGATATTATATGCAGATTGCAATTATCCTCACGAAAAAGGGTAGGGTTAGGCTCAGAATGGCTAGGCCTATTGTTTTCAAAGATGTCCGCAATATATTTAGGGGTTAAAATGGACCAACAACTAAAAATGTTCCTGATTTTGCAGTCGTTATAAAGTTAACAAATTGAATCCAAAGGAAATCTCGCATGAAGTTAGAGTTTAGGACAGCGGGTAGAATGGACCACTACTTTTGTGTGTAAAAATATTAATATTACTTACAGGCGCTATCCGAAATACACAAAAGGTGAACTTCTGGCTTTTTTTTGCTGATTTCGTTGATGAATAAAGCCAAATATCATAGACAAGCAAATCATATAGATGAGTTTAAATTTGGTGATACAGAGGGGCCTCTTGCTTTTGGAGTTGATCGCAAAATATTTAGGGGTTGAAATGAACCAAAAACAGAAAAGATTTCCTGCTCACACAATTGAAGAGAGTTAAGAACAGCGAAGAATATTAGCATTTTGAATAAACATTGGTATATGTAGCTGTAAAATGGACCACAACAACTAAGAGCACGATGGAGACCGTAAATATTGGGCAAATGTCCCTGGTCAAAACGCTAAGGGTAATATCTTGGCAGTGCTCCATGACATAATTTCAAAAGCTAAATATTCCAAAATGGATTCGGGCATAAGGGGGCTTCTAACATATTGTAGTGTTGTAGGGTATAACATGGTCGGCCCCGCACGACTATAGCCTTTGCTTACTTGTTTTATATAAGTTGTCTATGAAAGAAGTGCAACTTCGAAAAACAAAAGGCCAATGAGAATATTATCCTTCTGCTCAAAAGCCATAGAAAGAAAGTTTAAGGCTTTACATCATTTTGCGCTGCGTTTTCGACTACGAACTTTACAACCATTCTACGTGATCCATAACATTAATTTATATGTATGTGAAAAAGACTTACATTCCACAGTGAACCACCACAATTAGAGGTTGTTGTCCATATAAACCATAGTGGGAATTGTACAAATCCTATGGCCAATAGAACCCAACCGGCAACTGTAGAAAAGAAAAGATGGGCATAAATTGTTCATTAAATATTCTAGATCCTCTTAGAATAAATCCAGTACTTACTATTTGCCGATTCTGGATAATCCATGCCAGCATATTGTAATGTTTTCAACTCAGCCATGGAATAAACGAAAATGAATAGAAGTAGGAGGGGTGTAATAACGGCCCAGCATATACGCCAATAGAACGATACACGCATGCGGCTCATAAATTCCACATCATCACAGAAGTTTTGTAAACCTTATAAAGATTTTAGAAATTATAACCTGAATTTTTTATAATTGAATGCTTTTTCCTCCCCACTTACCATAGACCCATGCAACGCCGATGATTTGAAATAGTGCCAAGCCAAATATGACAAATGTGGCACCATAATAATCCACCAAATTTAGAATCCATTGCCCAGCCTAAGAGGAATGCGAACATGGAAAAAAACACAAGAATATTGAACATCATTTGGAGCTCTAGGCAGCATTATTGTGCATTAATTGCGAAGCTAGTTGAAAGCAATATTGAAATGGGATTAATGAAAGCGAAGATAATTTTCCGACCTTCGGTTATTGATTTTTTTTAATTTTGAAGCGAATTCTATGAAATATGCTAAGCCTTCAAAAATATTGCTCATAACTACCGGAGTAACGTAAATAATGCCACAAAGAAAGCCGCCAATTGATGTTGCCAGGGCCACCATCCAGGCCTTCATCCATTTAAAGTGATCACATAATATCGCCACGAGGGTATTGGCCTGGGCCACCAATGTTCCAATGCCCAAAACGAAAAGCATTATGAAAAATAAAACGGCAAATAACTGGAAAAGAAAAGCCAATATTTAATACTTTAAAAAGTTGTTAAAATATTTTCACAGCCAAAAAAGTACCTGCGGTACCCCATTAAACTTTGCGATAGCATCTGGATAGGATATAAATGCCAAACCTGTACCGCTGCGTACAACCTCATCGATATTACTGATATTTAGATTGTGTGCCAAATTACCCAAGATGCCAAATATTGTGATGCCCGCAATCAGACTCGTTACCGTATCCAAACTGGTTACAATAATGGCATCCCTGAAAAAGAAGAGAGAGAGATTTTTTTTTAATTTCGGAAGAATTTCCATATGTGATTTTTTATACCTATGTGAATTGTGATTGAATTTGTTGTAGGAGGAGAACATAACGATGGGACCCAGGCCCACTGCCAGAGAAAAGAAGCATTGTACAACGGCTTCTTTCCAGACCTGTGAAAAATATTCCAGATTAAAAGGCGTTCAGTAAAATTTAGATTTTCTCTATTAAGAAAGGTCATTTAAAGGTCTTCCCCTTTATTAGCAACTATTTGTAAATGCTGACTAAAGCTGCAGATCAATTAAAAAAACTCAAAAGGAAAAATCAAAAGTCGGGACTATATGATACCCTTACACCACTATGCACATTTAGTAGAGCTCCCATAAGAAGTAGATCATATCACCTCTCAACCTTTGGCTTTAGAGCAGTCACTGTTCGGTTACAAGGACAACTAATATATGGGAGGCATATCCAATTCTGAATCGATTTTCATTAAATTTTACGGAGCCATTTTAATCTTTTATACAAAATAACATTGCTATAGAGTGCATGATATCACTTCGAGAAGGATAATATTAAAAAATATATATGTCGGAGCCGAGTTGCAAAAAGTGGTAACGTACGTCTCGAAATTCACTCCATTTGGGCTGATATTAGGCATTATTTGCACAATAAACCTGAAATCGGATTAAGGATATATATGGGAGCCATATCCAAATCTTAGCCGTTCTCGATAATATTTGGCAAAGGTATTTCCGAGCTCTATAAGATATCTGGTATCCAAATTTCATTGCTGTCGAATGCATATTACGCATGTGAGGGACTTAAACACCAAATCGGATGAAACATATATATGGGAGCTATAACTATATCTGAACCGATTTTTTCCCGAATTCTATGTACTTGCTTCTATACTGAATTCGATCGGATGTACCAAAATTCAGGTCATTTGGACTTATACTGGCCATTTGGTGCACAATTCATCCGAAATCGGCAAAATATATGTATGGGAGCTACATCCAAATCTGAACAGTTCTTGGTAAAATTTGGCAGAGGTATTTCCGAGCTCTATAAGATATCTGGTCCAAAAAACATTGTTGTGGAGTGCATATAACGAATGTGAGGGACTTAAACACTAAATCGGATGAAACTTATATAAAGCAGCTATAACTATTTTTGAACTGATTTTCTCCGAATTCGATGTACTTGCTTCTATACTGAATTCGATCGGATGTACCAAAATTCAGGTCATTTGGACTTATATTGGCCATTTGGTGCACAATTCATCCGAAATCGGTTGAATATATGTATGGGAGCTATATCCAAATCTGAACCGTTCATGATAAAATTTGGCAAAGGTATTTTCGAGCTCTATAAGATATCTGGTACCCAATTTCATTGCTGTCGAATGCATATTACGGATGTGACGAACTTAAACACCAAATCGGATGAAACATATATATGGGAGCTAGAGCTATATCTGAACCGATTTCCACCAAATTTAATATATTTTCTTCTAGGCTGAATTCGGTCGGAAATGCCAAACATTCAGGACTCTGGGACTGATACACAATTAACCGGAAGTCGATTGAAGATTTATGGGAGTTATATCTAAATCTGATACAATTATCACCAATTTCTATAGGGTTCGTCCTTGGGCCAAACAAATATGGTTTGGAAAATTTCAGCTCAACCGACGTGCATTTTGTTCAAAAGAATATATGGACGGGCGGACAGATGGACTGACATGCATAAATCGACTTAGAAAGTAATTCTATGAAGATCCTCAAAGGTAACTATGGGTCTATCTCGCTTCCTTCTCCATGTTACAAACAAATGCACAAAGACATAATACTCTTACCACTATGTGGTGTAGGGTATAAAAATATAATCTTTGATTTTGACCAAAGATTTTACCGATAGAGAGGAAGGTTCACAGTTCTAAGAGAGATATAGATAGATTCTACATCAAAAATCCTATCAGACAGTTCTGAGATTCCATTAAATTCTGCTTTCTACATAACCCCTGCCAATTATTCCTGTAGTTTACCTTCAAATTCAGCAATTCGCTCCAATTGGGTTTTAGGAAAAATATAATACCATCTATGGCACCATCCAAGGTGACAGCTCTTATTAGCAGTGTTATTAGAATTACATATGGAAATATGGCCAGGAAATATGCAGCTTTGCCAGCCGTTTTTACACCACGAACTATAACCAAAAATGTGGTTAGCCAGGCCACAAACAAGGCCAATGTTAATCTCCAACTAGGCAAGCCAATGCCTTCAGATATGTCATCATATTCTCGGATAACCTGTTTTCTGTAATAAATAAAAAAGGAACAATTATTTTATCTCATATCGAATATACAGTGTAGATACTTACATAAAATACATTTCCGAACTACTTGTAGGTCGATCGTTGAACGATGTGTAATTATCGCCATTTGTGGCTTTAGAATTTGAATCGACACAATTTGAGCCCCATTCTTCGCGGCAATATGACCACGGCAGGGGGTTATAGAATGAGGCGATAAAGTAATACAGAGTCAAGGCCAGCAGGGAGGAATAATATGTGAGCACCGTAACTCCGGCATAGGCTTGACCAATACCCACACCTAAACAAGTTAAAGAATGGTTTGAAATATTTTTTTTAATTTTTTTTTCAGAAACTTACCTATAAATGAAGGACAAATCGACCATACTTTGACTGAACTTTTACTTGTAAATTGTCCCAAAAGCACCTCCAGATAATACATGGGCTTTCCTGGAACATTAAAAAGAAGTACACAATTAAATAAATTACTAAAAGTAAAAAAAACATTTAAATACTAATAACAGCAGTGTTATAAAAATGGAACGGTTCTATGACGACCAGTAGCTCGATTCTCAAACTAGTTACTAATATAAATTTTGCCATCTCCTTCTAAATCGATAAAAGAGGATTGTTTGTTTGTAATTTATAGATTCAAAAACGGCCAAACAGATTTTCCTGAAAATTCCCATATATACAACAGCATCGCCTGAAGGTAACATAGGCTATATAAATTTTTAAAATTCCACTTGGAACTGGAGATATATATCAGAATCGGAGGTACCTCCAGAAGACTTAGTTTTTGAATGCACATATCTATTGATCGGTTATAGATACAGTCTCCAGATTAAGAATGTGTAAAGGATATCGATACAAAAATTATTTTGCCAATTTATACTGAAATCGGTTCATGTTTTAAATATAGCTCCCATATATATTTTCGGTCGATTTCACATATTTTATGCATCAAACGCTGTATGTTTGTCCGATTCCAATGAAATTTGGAATGAGTGACACAATTTGGTACAAAAATAAATTTGCCAAATTATATTGAAATCGGTTAAGATTTGGATATAGCTGCAATATATATTTTCAACCGGTTTTTCTTTATTTGATGCACCGAACACGACATGTATGCTCGATTCCAATGAAATTTCGAAATAGTGACGGGATTTGATCAGAAAATAAATTAGTCAAATTTCAATGAAGTTTGGAATGTGTGACGGGATTTGGTCTAAAATTCTAACTGTTAACAAGTAAAAAAACTGAAGGTTTAGCCGGGCCGAACTTTGAATACCCTCCACCATTTGGAAGGAATTTGGCAATTCTCAAAAACAATAAAATCCGTTAAAAATTCTATTAAAATCTAAAAAATACCGAATGTAGCTGTTACTTTAGCGTCTACACGACGACTTTTTTCATAAGCCACTACAATATTCAAATGTGAAACTTAAAAAAAATCGGTGAAAAATGTAGCTAAAATCATCAAAATACCGAATTTCGGGAGGTACCGTTATATAGGGGGATATACTAAGACATGGACCTGCCCAGACAATTTTCTGTCATAGGCTGTGGTATCCACTACAGCAAATACCAAATTTGAAAGAATTCCGGTGAATAATGTCGCTAAAATTAACAAAATACCGAATATCGGGAGGTACTATGCGAAGACGTGGACCTGCACAGACAATTATCTGTCATAGGCTGTAGCATCAACCTACTTCATTTCGTTCGGAAGCTAGAGTGACTTCCACAGACGGGCGGACATCGCTAAATCGACACAGAATTTTATGCTGATTTGTGGGGTCTAAAATGTATATTTCGAGGTCTTACAAACGGAATGACAAACTTAACATGTCCTCCATACTATGATGGAGGGTATAAAAATGCAGAACTGGCTATTGTAACATAAGCGGAATTTTATGACAAATAATTTTCTAGAATCATGAATATACACGGAAAGCATTATTCTCGAGACATAATTTCTCCAATCATGAATAATTTCGTAGATGGCAATAATTTCGCGAATGTGTCGTTTTCGCACCATGTGTATCCTATTTGCTATATAAACAAAGATAGATATTTGGTATAAACATGGCAGAAGAGTACAGGTAGTTGCATCGACACAGCTGCTGGGACAATGAACTGTCAGACCAAATTTGGAATTGAAAATTTTAAATGGAAAATTATTGAAATATGTAAAAATTGTTGAAAAATACATATCATAACAACCTCCTATTTGCGTCGTATAGGAAAGAAATAAAAACCTACTTATTTTTTACAAAACATTTTAAACATTTTGACATATCAATGTTCCTCAGCGTTGATGCATCTACCTGTGTTCTTCTACCATGGGTATAAATTAGTGCATTTTTGAACTGCTTTTGTTTTTTTTTTTATAAAAATTAAGCAACTTAAACCAAATAATTTTCAATATTACGATTCGTGTTGGATATTATTTATTCATATCATATTTTCAGTTGGTTATTAACAAATACATCGTTCCTAAATTTTTTATTGAAATTAATCGCTCTGGATCGTATTTTCAAACTTCTATGTTGCTCCACATATGTTCGAATCTTCATATCTCAAATTTGTCGGTTTAAATTCCTTCATTTTTACAAATTTAGCTTGGTGCACTTAAAATTAGCATAAATCTTCGAAATAAGAAAAGAACCATTCGCATTGCCATCTTTGCGAATTATTTTTGTTCCAGTATAACTATGATCGCAGGAATTATCTATCGGGGAAAGAATTTCGCACTGATATTCATGATTGAGCCGTATAAGATTTTTTAATAAATTTCCCAGAAAGAACGATACAGATGCTTTCCGTTAGAAGAATTTCTTATTAGTTTTGAAAGGAATATTCTTCTGGAGCGACAACTATTTTAAGAGCATTCGCGTTACCAATTTTATCTACCTCAAAGTTAGTTTTCAAGAGAAATTTTTGTTCATGATAGCAAAAAAGGGAAAAGAGAAAAATTCCACATCGAGTTACACTTCATAATTGGACCGATAGTGCGTAACAGCCTATCAGATCAATGTAAATTGTCTCCAAAAGCTCTGAAATGAATTTTTGCCACAGGAATCCTAGGATCTAAAACCATTGTCATCATTGTGAGTTTTACATACCAACTGAGTTACCATGCTAAATTCCCCAACCGACTGCATACGGAAGCAAAATGTCATCGTTAATTCCTAACAGAAATATTTAATAAAATCAATTAAATGTCAATTGAGTTACAATTTCTACGTTGATTGATCTTATCTGAAAAGGAACAAAGAACGAGATTTGTTGCGGTTAATTCTTCAGATATCATCCAGATAACATGTCTAGCGTTCTTTTAGAGACTTTACTTTGACCGTCTCCGACAGTAAAATTAAGCACATGTTTGCTTAATAAACATAAATGTGAATTCTTATCATAATGATAGGCAATTTGTATTTAAACGCTGAGCCCCTAAAAAATTCCGAGACACTGTTAGCCATAGTAACTGTGATTTGTCTTTTTCAAATCACTTTCAGAATTGTTTTTTTATTTGATCGTTCATCTGTCTGTGCATTTTTTATGGTAGCCGCAGCTGCTGCCCCAAACAAACATATTTAGATAAGAAGGGAAGCTAGTAATAATCTCAAATAGATGTGTGAAGTTGCACAAATTCCCACAAAGCTGAATTTTGGTGTAGGGTTCTATTTTACCGTTAAAACAAAACCGTAAAAATTGAGCATCTCCAAATTGTCTACAAAACAAAGTTGGAAAGATTTAAACGGTATTCCGACGGCATTTAGCCATTTATTTATGTATATCCTTTTTGCTTCATATAACATGAAGGTCTCAGAAATAATTTCTCGTTCTATAGGAGTCATGATTATCATAAATTTTTTGGGAAAGGTATCAAAAGGAGTGGACCAATTCTTCTTCGTGCGAAATCTATGGTTTTCTAATTGGGATATGCGAAGTTAGATAAAAATCGGATACTGATTTCACATCCAGTCCAATCATTATTATTCTCGCTGAATTCTATTCCCACGGAAAGCTTTTTTCTCGAGAGATAATACCTCCAACCATGAATAATTGAGGAGAAACAATTAGCAAAGTTGGCAACGCGAATTGGTATTTTTCGCACCTAGTGTACTCTATTTGTTGTACAAATTGGTTCAAAAACCATTTAAAAGTTTTTAATAAAAAATAAGCAACTTATATCGCGTTTATACTATTGGAGATTAACCTAGTGGGTTTAGTAGATAAATTGAATAAATCTAGTGTGTTTATAAACACCAATAAAAGGATATAAATGCGGCTCAGCTGATATACAACCAAAAAAGAATACAAAACAATAGATGTGCGAAAAAACGTATGGAGACAATTGATACTGAACAAGTAAAAAAGCTGTAAGTAAGGCCGGGTCGAATTTTGAATACCCTCCACCAATTGGAACGAATTGAGCAATTCTCAAAAAGAATAAAATCCGTTAAAAATTCCTTTAAAATCTTAAAAATATCGAATGTTGCCGTTATATTAGGGTCTATACGACGACGTGGACCTGCATAGGTAACTTTTGTCATAAGCTATTACAATATTTAAATGCGAAACTTGAAAAAAAAAATCTGTTTATAATGTAGCTAATATCATCAAAATAACCAATATAGGGAGGTGCCATGGGGTTTATAAAACATGGACCTGCACAGACAATTTTCTGGCATAGGCTGAATTATCCATTACGATCTTCAAATACAAAATTTGAAATAATTCCGATAAATAATGTCGCTAAAATCATCAAAATACCGAATATCGGGAGGTACCGTTATATGGGGGCTATACGAAGGGGTGGACTTGCACAGACAATTTTCTGTCATAGGCTGTAGCATCCATAACGAACTTCAAATACAAAATTTGAAACACTTCCGGTAAATAATGTCGCTAAAATCATCAAAAAACCGAATATCAGGAGGTACCGTGATATAGGGGCTATACGAAGACGTAAACCTGCATAGACAATTTTATGTCATAGGCTATAGTATTCACTACGAACTTCAAATACCAAATTTGAAACAATTCCCGTGAATAATGACGCTACAATCATCGAAAAACCGAATATCGGGAGGTACCGTTATATCGGGGCTATACGAAGACGTGGATCTGCACAGACAATTTTCCGTCTTAGGGTGTAGTATCCATTTTGAACTTCAAATACCAAATTTGAAACAATTCCCGTGAATAATATCGCTAAAACCATCAAAATATCGAATATAGGGAGGTACCGTTATATGGGGGCTATATGAAAACGTGGACCTACATGGCCCATTTACGTACTTAACCTGCCTACTGGAAAAATAAACATGTGTGCAAAATTCATTCAAAATTCCATACACGGACCGACATAAATCGTTATAGAATTTTATGCTGATCAAGAATATATATACTTTGTGAGGTCTAAAATGTATATTTCGAGGTGTTACAAACGGAATGACAAACTAAATATACCCTCCATACGAGGGTAAAGAAACATTTTTATATAAAAGTATCTGAATTAAAGCGTGTTCCACTTTAAACTACACATATCAGTAAGATCGTTTGGATAATGCAGTTAAACTTATCAAAGTACCATAAAGTCAGTGGGTCGTTATATGGGGGCCATACCAATACAACAACTTTATATTACAACGATTGTTATCTATTGCAAGTCTTAAATTCCAAATTTGAAAAAAATGTCGTAGGTAAATGTGACTGGGATTATCAAAATACCGAATATCGGTGGGTACCATTACATGTGCGATATAGGAAAACATGGACCTAGATACTCAATGTTCTGCCACCGAAGCGAGAACTCTTTAAGAACTACAAATACCATTTTTTAGTAGTGGAAAATGTGGAAAAAATCATCAAAATGCCGAATATCGGGAGGTATAGTTATATGGGGGCTATACGAAAACATAGAGCTATACATACAATGTTCCGCCAGCCAACCTAGAACCCATTAGGAAGTACAAATATCAATTTTTAGACAAATCCGGGGAAAAATGTGACAAAATTATCAAAATACCGAATATCGGAAGGTACCGTTTTATGGTGGCTTTACCAAAACGTGGACCGATATATTGTCATCTTCGAACATTATTTCTCCTAAATTATTCATGATTGGAGGAATAGTTTCTGGAGAAAAATGCTTTCCGTGGGAAAAGAATTCCGTGCGTATATTTGAGAATTATCCTCGATGACGAGTAAAGATGGCAACGCGTATGGGTTTTTTTCGTACCTTGTGTATCCTATTTGTTATACAAATTGCTTCAAATTTTAAATACTCTGCTCTGTTTCTGAACCTGCAAAAATCTACAAATGTTCAATATAATAAAGGAAAATTGATAACTATTCGTTTTATGCTCTCCACCATTGTTGGGGGGTATATTAAGTTTGCCATTCCGTTTGTAACACCTCGAAATATACATTTTAGATCTCACAAAGTATATGTATATATATTCATGACCAGCATAAAATTCTATGTCGATTTAGCTATGTCCGTCTGTGGAAATCACTCTAGCTTCCGAACGAAATGAAGTAGGTTGATAAAATTTTACTTAAATGTGTATTATGTCTGCAGGACTTCTTGTAGGTCATGTAGGTACCTTATAATGGTACCTCCCTTTTTCGGCATTTTGGTGAATTAAGCGACATTATTCACCGGAAATGTTTCAAATTTGGCATTTGAAGTTCGTAATGTGTACTACAGTCTAAGACAGAAAATTGTCTATACAGGTTCATGTCTTCGTATAGCCCCCATATAACGGTACCTCCCGATATTCGGATTCGGATGCAGGTCCGTGTCGTTAATAGATCCTAATATAACAGCAAATTCGGTATTTTTAAGATTTTAACAACATTTTTAACGGATTTTATTGTTTTTGAGAATTGCCAAATTCGTTCCAAATGGTGGAGGGTATTCAAAGTTTGGCCCGGCCGAACTTATAGCTTTTTACCTTTTTTTTAATAAATTGCTTATCAATATGAGATTCAATATGAATGGTGAATGTTGATAAGTTAAAAAAGAATTGAAAATATGATCCTGAACGGCCACCATTGTTTCTTGGTCGCATTTTTAAATAAATTATTCAAATAAAATGCAAAAACAATTTAAAAACGCAGAGTATGATAATAACTAAAAAATTTGCCAGAATTACTTATTTTCCAAAACGTTTCAAAAAATAATATTTTTCTAAAAAAATCGGTAAAAAGAAAGAAAAATCAGTAAGTTCGGCCGAAACAATTTGGAAATTTTCAAAAAATAAATAAATAAAAAATAGAATTCGTTATAAATTCTGTTAAAATCTTGAAAATATCGTATATGGGGAGTTACCGTTATCTGGGGGGTCTATATGAAGACGTGGACCTGCAATTTTCTGTCACCAGCTGTAGTACCCACTACAAAGTGCAAATAAGAAAAACAATCCCGGTGAATAATGTAGCTACCGAATTAAAATACCGAATATAGGGAGGTACCTATGTATGGGGCTATACGAAGACGTGGACCTGCACAGACAATCTCCTGTCATAGGCTGTAGTATCCCTTTCGAACTTCAAATACCGAATTTGAAACCATTCCGGTGAATAATGTCGCTAAAATCATCAAAGTACACAAAAGTACACAAACGGAATGACAAACTTATTGTACCCTCCATACTGTGGTGAAGGGTATAAAAAGATGTATCGAAGAAATTAGAATTCACGAATTTCTGCAATTTTATCAGTCTATTTTGCCTTGGCTAAAAAACTGAGGAAAACACCTTCCTCCAAAAACCATCTACAGATGCAAATTTTTAAATCTCTAGTTTCATGTATAGAGGTTTCTTATTCGCCCTTTATCACAATCCCTTGTCGCCTACACTTTTCTTTGTTCTCCACTGCTATCTATGCATCAATTAGGTCATAAAGACCATGTGATATTTCATTATTTTAAAGCACCCTTTCCAATGTTTTAAACCTTAATTACCAACAAACCGTCAAAGTAAATTTGATGATGTCGCTATAAATTACAAACACAAATTAACCCCACCAGGAGACAAATTCAAGCAAAAAAACGCAAACCAAACCAAACAAAGCACATCGACATCAACTAACAAAAGCAAAAACAAAAATTAAGCAAAAAATTAAATACAATTTAAGTTAAATTGATGAAATCAATTTGCCATCAATATTCCGTCGCATACCAATTAAGAACAGCACCACGATGTAGGGTATCAAAAATGCACCGCCACCATTCTCATAGGCGGTAAATGGAAAACGCCAGATATTTCCCAGGCCAACGGAGACCGAGATGCAGGACATGAGAAATTCCAAGCCGCTGGCCCAATTTTCACGTTCTTTATTGTTTGGAGGCTGATTGGAGTTGGCATCACTTGGGGCTGGCGTGTTGCTGTTGCCGTTGTTGATGGAAGTTTGTTTGTTGCCGTCTTCAATGGAATTCATGTTGCTGCGGTTGTAGATCACTTTTTTTTTCAACTTAAAAAAATATATCACAGTTTCAAGAGAGAGACGGAGAGAAGGATCGTCTTAAAGCACCATCCAAATTTCGTATCCCCAGCTTATATAAAAATAATCTCTTTTCGCAATTTTAACAAAGATAGAAATTTTTGAAAATTTCAATATCTATGCAATCACTTTCAATTTTAGTTAATGATACCGCATCATAGTCGATTTTTTTTTTTTTTGGTTTTTTTTTTTTCGATTTTGTATTTTCTGTGTTCCTTGTTTTTTTTTTGCGAAATTTCTTATTCACTTTCACGTCACACACACGCTAAACCGTTTCTATACGACGAGAACCCTTTGTCAAACCGTGGATGTTGCTATTTCTTGAATGGTTCTTCAATCGACGACGATCCCTCAATGAATACTAAAAGAAGAGGGCATCACATTTTCACTCACTTGCATCCAAATCTGATATCAGACGGTCTGCCAGCCAGCAGCGCTGCCTGGCGTTAACGTTGACGGCCTTGTTAACCGAAAGAAAAGCGTCGAAAGCAATTAGCAATGAAGACCACACCAATGTGTTGCTGTGACAACAGAACTAGAGGGGTAAAAGTTCGTAACTGTATCAATCAATGAGGGATAAAGGCAGGGAATTATTTATGATTCGAAAAGTCTTCAGTTTATTTTTTTTTCGTTTCAAAAATCCAATCCACGATACAAAATGACCATAATGACCAAATACCATCTGTGATTTTTTTAATAATTCTTTAGACTGTTAAGTGGGTGTACCTTTAGTAGGTCATTTTAAAATTGGCTTATTTTCAAAAAAAAAAAGTAAAAAGACGGGCGGGGCTGACTATCATACCACTATGCATATTTAGTTGAGCTCCCATAACAAAAGGATTTATTTGAAGTTGATCATACCACCTATCAACATTTGGCCTTAGAGCAGCTATAGTTTGGTTTCATATGGAACTAATATATGGGAGGTATATCCAATTCTGAATAGATTTTCAATAAAAGTGACAGAGACTTTTTTATTTTTATTGCTCAATACAATAAACCTGAAATCGGATCAAGGATATATTTCTAGGAGCTATATCGATAAAATTTGGCAAAGGCATTACCGAGTTTAATAAGATATCTGGTACCAAATATTATTGTTGTCGAATTCATATTACGAATGTGAGGGACTTTAAACCCCAAATCGGATAAAACATATGTTTGGGACCTATAGCTATATCTGAACCGATTTTCACCAAATTTGATGTAGTTGCTTCTAGACTGAATTTGGTCGGATGTGCCAAAATTCAGGTCATTTGAATTGATATTGGCCATTTGGTGCACAATTAAACCGAAATCGGTCGAAGATATATATGAGGACTGACATGCATAAATCGACATAGAAAAGTAACTGTGGGTCTATCTCGCTTCCTTCTCCACTATGTGGTGTAAGGAATAAAAATCCATAATTTTTTATAAAGATTTAAAAAAAATAAAATTTGAAAAAAAATCTCAAGAAATAAGCGGAGATTTGTAATAAAAGCTCTTAAAAATAAATTTACGATTTAGAAAAAATTGAAAAATTCTTCATAGTTTACGAGGTCTTTGAACAAATCGTTAAAAATGTCCGATTTTGGTAGAATGGCTTCTGAAACCACTGAAGAAATATTCTAAAGAACAAGTAAAAAAGCTGTAAGTTCGGCCGAGCCGATCTTTGAATATCCTCCACCATTTGGAACAATTTTGGAAATTTTCAAAAAAAAAAAAAAAAAAAATCCCTTAAAAATTTTGTTAAAATCTTTAAAATACCGAATGTAGCCATTATATTAGGGTCTATACGATGACGTGGACCTGCATAGGCAACTTTTGTCATAAGCCATTACAATATTCAAATGCGAAACTTAAATAAAAGATTCGGTGAATAATGTAGCTAAAATCATCAAAATACCGAAAATCGAGAGGTACCGTTATATGGGGGCTATAAGAAGACGTGGACCGGCACAGACAATTTTCTGTCATAGGCTGTAGTATCTACTACGAACCTCAAATACCAAATCGCTAAAATCATCAAAATACCGAATATCGGGAGGTACCGTTATATAGAGGCTATACCAAAACGTGGACCTACATGGCCCATAATACCATAGGCTGTAGTACCTATTACGAACCTCAAATACCAAATCGCTAAAATCATCAAAATACCGAATATCGGGAGGTACCGTTATATGGAGGCTATACCAAAACGTGGACCTACATGGCCCATTTTCAATACCAAAAGTCCTGCAGACATAACATACATATGAGTAAAATTTTATCAATATACTTCAATTTGTTCGGAAGCTAGAGTGATTTCCACAGACGGATAGATGGACAGACGGACGGACATCGCTAAATCGTTATAAATTGTTATGCTGATCAAGAATATATATATATATATATATATATATATATATTGTGGGGTCTAAAATGTATATTTCGAGGTGTTACAAACGGAATGACAAACTTAATATACCCTCCATACTATGGTGGAAGGTATAAAAATAACAAAAAATCGACGATTTTGGTCAGGGCATTCTTGAAAAAATATTAAACAATCCAATTTTGGTTAGGAGGTCCTTTGAATTTTTAAACCTGATTTTCATCGGGAAAAATGCTTTAAAAAGACAGCCTTTTTGTGATGACAGGATTCTAGAAAAATTCCTAAAATTCCACGATTTTTCTTAGAAGGTCCTCGAAAAATCCATGTTTTGTCTAGTCTCCATGTCAACGATTTTAACTAAATTTCTCAATGGAATTATCTCCAATACCAAGTGTTTAGAGTTTGTAATAGGCGGTGCCTTCTCTGCCAAATAATTCCCTATACGGGTCCACGTCTTCCTAAAGTCCCAATTACCTATTTCGAATTTTATTAATTTTAGCAGCATTTTGCCACGAATTTTAATTACTTTTTGCAAGTTTCCCTCAAATAGTGATGGGTATCGAAAGTTCGTCCAGGCTGAACTTAGCTACATTTATATTCGTTTCAATATCTCAAAGTTAAATCAGTTATGGTAGTGACATTTTTACATTCATAAAGGTTCTGGAACAAGGCAATTGTTGCCCATTAACGTCGAAAATAGCTCTGTTCCAGAACCTGCAAGAACAATTGTACTTAGGAGATCATTTTATTTTGCCTCCGGATATTATATCACGATGATATGTATACATCATATACGTCAATGATTTGTATTTTTTTTTTAACGTTGTAATCTGCAACCTGTAACCTACAACAGTCAAATTCTTCCGATGGTAAACAAAGAACATTCCTCAACTTCATGATTTGCGCTTAGATTATCAACGCGTGCCAATTTTATTGCTCTACTCGGGCGTATAAAGTACAACCGCGCCACCCTACCCTAACACAATTCTTCATGAATGTTAGAACATAAACGTGATCACTTGTTGTTGTTATGTGCTATTATTAGCCATTAGCTTAAGTTTTACTAGACACAATAAAATTTCAAAATTTTGTTATCTGACTGTCTGATGAAGTCAAATAACCATAAATGAATTGCCCAAATAATATTTAAACATTTCAAAAGAGATGTCTGCAAAATTTTGAGAACCAATTAAAGAACAAGGCAAGCAAATAATAAAACAGTGGAACATTGATATGACGTCTATGTAGGTTTAAGGTCAAAATACATGAAAAGGACAGAATTTGGAATAATTATGATTGTAGTTTATTTAGGGCATTTTGAGTCGATCCAGCCATGGAATAACTTTGTCCATAGAGACAGCACATCTTCTAATTTTCCAAGAGATTTTCGGATTTAATAAAAAATGTACTCATGGAAAAAAAATGTCGGAAATAGCATCAAATTTTAGAATAAGTTTAGATTTGTTCGTATTGGTAAACTTTGGAACGAATTATGGCATTCAAACGGCCAATGAAACTGTCAGAAGCTGCCTGAATGTTGCTCTACGGTATTTTGGCCCATTCCCGACGAAGCGCTTGCTTGAGGTGATCGACTCTTTGGTATTTTTTAGTGCCAACCTTTCTTTCCAAAATACTCCAGACAAAATAGTCCAACGGATTGGAAGCCAGAAACCTCATTTTGTAACCATTCTTGGGTGGCGATTGCAGAGTCCTGTTGGAATGTCCAAGGTCTGCGGTCGAAATATTTGCGTGCCCAAGGCTTTTATACGCCCTCCAGAATATTTTCGCGATAATATTCGGCATTTATTCTGATGTCGATTAATACGAGCGGAGAGCGACCATCGGCTGTTATGGTAACCCACACCTCCCCATGGCCTGCGTTTGAGTTCTGGTGGGCAACCGAAGGAGCACATTTTCAGCTGACCTCTTTGGCAAGTAAACACGATCATTTTGTTTGTTTACAAACTGCTGGGCAACGAACGTTTTCTCATCGGTGACGGAGAAAACCAAATTCGCCAGTTCACCACTTTCGGCCAAGCGAAGCAACTCTTTAGCTCTTTTAAGTCTATTTTCTCTCAGTTGCGGTGTAATTTCTTGCACATTTTGGAATTTCAATGGCTTTATCCCGAGCTCATTTTTCAATATTTGCCGAATATTGCGATATGTTCAGCTCACGAGCCATTTTTCGGCCACACAAGTAGCTTCTTTACTTTTCGAACCATTTCTGCTGATGTTGCTGTTTTCTTCCATTCACTTCCTTAGCGTGGTGAAAATTCAGTTCAGGTATAGCTATAGCCCCCATATATATGTTTCATCCGATTTGGTGTTTAATTCTCTCATATTCGTAATTTGCACCCCGCAAGAATGATATTTGTTACCAGATATCAGATACAGTCCAGAAATAACTCTGCCAAATTGTATCAAGATCGGTTCAGATTTGGATATAGCTGCCATATATATCTTCAACCGATTTCGGGTTCAGTGTGCACCAAATGGCCAATATCAGTGCAAATGATCTGAATTTTGGCACATCCGACCGAACTCAGTCTAGAACTCAGTCTCCAAACAAGTACATCAATGATATTTGGTACCAGATATCTTATAAAGCTCTGGAAATACCTCTGCCAAATTTTATAGAGATCGGCTAAGATTTGGGTATAGGTCTCACATATATATACCTAATCCGATTTCAGGTTTATTGTGTAAATAATGGCTAATATCAGCCCAAATGGAGTGAATTTTGGGGCGTACGATTCCTTTAGTCGGAACTCGGATCAGATATATATATTTTTTTTTAATATAATCCTTCTCGAAGTGATATCATGCTCTCTATAGCAATGTTATTTGGTATACAAGATTAACATGTCTCCGTCCAATGTAGAATTGGATATGCCTCCCATTTATTAGTTCCCTCTGAAACCAAACTATAACTGCTCTAAAGCCAAATGTTGACAGGTGGTATGATCTACTTCAAATAAATTCTTTGTAATCGGCCCGCCCGGCTTTTA